ACCTGTCTTGCCTTTCCTTTCTTTTTATGAAAGTAAAGAATTTGATGTAACATATACACATTTACATATATATCCACCTATTTAGCCTAGAGCATTTTAGCCCCACCTATTCACATTGAAGTTATAAGGGGTGTTTCAGCCTGGACTGCTTTTTGTATGAGGGACAACACATGGCAACCAGTTAGAACGGAGGTCATTTACATTTCATTAGAATTCTGTCTTACAGGCACTGAAAACAGCCTGTTTAATTCCAAACGATTCCAAAAGGTTGGAAAATGGTCATATAAAAAAATGACTGTTTTTGATTCATAAAACCACAACAAATGCCATAAGTGGACCTCAGGGAGTAAACTAAACCCAAGAAAAATATAGGATATTGGCGCTTTAAGTTACAGTTCTCCAAAATAGATTTTATTTAATGTTAACACCTCTCCAAACTAAACTGCTGTAGTAAAACTGTCTCTCATCCAGCTGTGTCTCATTATGAAGTGTTTAATGGAGTCCTTAAAGGGCTGTAGAACTTTACAGCAAATGATATAACAGTCCAGGCTAGAATTTCAACAATGTTTGGACAGTGTTTCAAATTCTACAGGGCAGTGTGTTGTTAGCAATGAGGCTAGAATAAGGCTAGTGCTAAGTAGCTACTATTAAATACACATGCACTCATGTACACATACCTCCAAATAACCTCCAAATAAGCAGAGGAACAGGTGATCTTACTCAGAAAGCCTTTGTAAACCAATGTAGGATTTTTGCTAATATGCTTAATAAAACTTGAATCAAAGCCTTTAGTTGTGGTTTCGTCGTCTTCTGTGCGTTTGGAAGCCGTGTGATATTTTTTCTGAGGGAGTCAAGGGGTTGCAAACCCTAAACTACTTTTGTGGAGAGTTGCAACTCATGATTTTAGAACGTGCAGCACTGCTCTCTGTTGGTTCAGTATTTTCCTTGGCTCTTTACTCTGAGCAGTTTAAGCAAATTTAAGCTTGGATTTGGATCTTGCGTGTTAGTATCAACATGAAACTGATTGGCTACTGATGTACCTTTATTGTGATCCTGTTTTATAAAGTACATCAAATTGGCACTGAATGTTTTATGTGCATTAAATGCAATAGAATCCAAATCTTCCTTGCTTTTATAAATTACATTGTTTGCAACACATTTACTGTTCATTAATAACTGATTGACTTATGTAATTACATTAAATTGTGGTCCTTCCTTATTCCTCTTGCCACATTTATCATTGCAAAAGTATTTTTCTAAAATATATCTCACAATATGCAGATCAGACAAAGAATTTATTTCAGTGGCTTTCGGTGACAAACACTGGAATAAAACCTTCCACTGTAAAGTGGCAAGAATCTGATAAACTTAATTTGCCTCAGAAAATACATTATTTCTGTTAGTAATATTGTTTTTGTTTGTTTTTTAAACATACTGATTTAGAAGAAATTAGATATATGACAATAGAGAAACTCTTAACTGCAGGTACTTTTTTTTACCTAGTTTTACATTTGAATTGCTGTGTGTATCTTCAGCCCCTGAGGTTGGTCCCCCTCACTTGTCAGTCCAAATTTGCAACGCTGACAACCACAAATGTGCATTTTAGAGTAACTACTTAGGAATACTACGAAGAAACCGATATTTAACACTTGTTAATACCAATGCTCATAACTGATAGTTCACACTGTATGTGATGTAAGTTCACTGAAGGTAAAATATAGTTATTAAATAGTGAATCCTTGTCATATGCCGTGTCATAGCTAAATCAGACATGACTATGATTGTAAACATTTACATTCTTTTTTGAAATATTTTACATTTTTCAGCCATTATACATAGCACACCTCCAGTTTGCATCAGCAACTTGTTTTGGTTTCATCACAGTTTTGCTCCGTACCCATTGCTTTAACACCCATTACTGACGTGACCAAGTACGGTAGTTCCTTCACTCCTCCTAAAACAACGCATTTTTCTGGGTTCTCAAAGATCCCTTATATTGTATGCACATGGCACAGCTGGGCCTGGAACCCAAATCTCAGCACTGGGACTTACCACTTCATTGTGATACATTGTTTTATCTGGATCAACTGACCAATGACCTTGATCTTCTGATTTGAATGTGTGTGGGTGTCAGTGTTTATACAAGATATGATAAGCGACAGCTGAGAAGTCTGTTTTTCAGATTATCAAACTGGATTTTGACCTCCTGATTGGATTCAGTTTCTCAAAGAGAAGTTCAAAAACAAGGCCCAGGTGTGCATGTGGTATGTATGTTTGCGCGAGTATGGTATCTCAAACATGTTACATGTGTGATATGTGCTGTATATGTGTAATAAGAATCAGCTGGGTGCTGTATGAGCAACTTTGTATCTACACTGATTGTCCTTTTTAATAGCTCCACATACCATATAAGTGCACTGGTTGGTTCTACAAGTACAGATTGTAGTGCATCAGCTTCTCTGCATTGTGTGTTAATCTTTCTTATCCCTGTTCATCAATTGTCAAAACCCCCCAGGAACACCACTGAGCAAGAATTATATGGGTAGTGGATCAGTTTAAGCACTGGACAATATGACAATATTTATTCATCATTATCATGATAAATTACAGCAGAATATGTCACAATATGCTTTCTGAGCATATTGTGGATATTGTCTGCACTTAAACACTGCTGACCAACTGCTTGTTTGAGAGAGCATCTTTAGTCCTGTTGAATACAAAAAAATTGGATTGGTAGTTTTTAATAGTATTTTGTAAATGTGGATCTTTTTTGTCTGTTCCAAATATACCTATACCGTGAACATTTTTGCCTTATCACCCACCCTTATGCCGCAGTGACACTAGATGTGTTTCTGTTCACTTTCTGCCTAAATTGCAAGTGATAAAATAACAGTATGTAAAAATAATATTTGTGAGTTTCCAAACTTTAGCATTGAAAATGCCTTATGTAATGGTATCATTTCCTGCAACATTTCAGGTATAGACAAACAATTTTCTACTAAAGGTGAATAGAAAACGTTTTGTTGGCATTCATAAAATATTATTGACTTTCCATTGTCTACATCAGTAAAACTTTTGAGTCATTAAAACCTTTGTAATTGTGTGTGTGTGCTGTACAGTGGCTCACACACATCAGTGTTGCTGGAGTTTGTAAACTAAGAATAGTCCACCAACCAAAAATATCCAGCCTACAGTAGCCTGTGGTCAGACACTGACAACTGATGTTTGACTAGAGCAGGAGTCTTTAAATGTTCCAGTCCTGGATTTTGCAGTTTGTGCGTAGGTCTGACTTTAGGTCTTCAATCAGTTACATTAAGTTAACTAACAGCGATTGCAAAATCTAGGACTAGAAGCTGGATTCAAAACCTGGATTTGTGGACCTTGTGATGCCAAGGACGCATTCTTAAGGCCATAAGTGAAAAAGCAGATGTAGTGCGGCTTTATTGCTAACTAGGCTACCCAATTGACTCTAGCTGATGTTAGCTAGGTGAAAATATATACTCACTGAGCACTTTATTAGGTACAACTACATTGTATCTACATTTATTGCCCTTTTTGTCATGCCCACTGTATCATATAGGTGGACTTTGTAGTTCTGCAATTACAGACTGTAGTCCTTCTCTTGCTTTGCATAATTTGTTATCTCACCTTTACTTTTACCTCCAGAGAGCCACCACAGAGCAGGGATTATTTGGGTGGTGGATCATCCTCGACACTGCAGTGACATAAGTGTTAGTTTTTGCTGAGCTGGTATGAGTGGGTCAAATATAGCTGTTTTGCTGGAGTTTTTAAACACTGTGTCCACTTACTGTCTGCTCTATTAGAGCAGTGGTTCCTAAGCCTGGTCCTGGAGGACTCCCTGCCCTGCACATTTCTGTGTTCTCCTGCTAAAACACACCCACTTCAACTCAGAAAGAGCTTGTTAAATAGCTGATTATTTGGATCTGGTGTGATGGGAGTAGAGAAAACACTAAAAAGCACAGTGCAGGGGTCCTCCAGGACCAGGGTTGGGAACCACTGCATTGGACACACCTACCTTGTTGGTCCACCTTGTAGATGTAAAGTAATAGACAATAGCTCACCCGTTGCTGCAGTTTGTGTTAGTCATTCTCTAGTCTGTCTTCAGTGGCCACAGGATCCTGCTATCACCTAAAAAAGCAAGCCTCTGGACATACATCAATTTTAGTCAAAGTACTTTTGATTTGTATTTATTAACTCTTGCGGATACTGAAATCCCTGCTAGAAAAAACAGCATAGACCAGCATGGCTGATGACTAATAAGACCAGCATATCATCACCATGTAAGGTAAAACGTGTCATTAAAATAGTAACTTTACAGAGGAACTTTTAATGTAAGTTAAGGTGAAAAGGTTTAATTACAAGTAATTTTGAAGTCTATTTATCATGACATTTTCACATAATATAAAGGACAAAATATTTTGTTTTTGACAGCGACAAAGAAACTAAACTAATTGTCCCACACAATTAAAAGCAGTCTCTACTGTCTCCCTTACATCCAAACTATTACATAGCTGGTGGGTTTAGAAAACTGTGACCATTAATCTGAAATCCATACTGTAACTACACTGCTCCACACAAATAGCAGTTTGTGTGTCACACACACCTCTAGGCGGTCTTCTTTACTTTCTCTATATTTCACACACATGCTATTGCATAGCTGGTGGGTTAAGAGCTATTTAGAGTACACTTCAAAAGCATCACATGAGAGGCCAGGTGTGTTATTAAGATCTACGCTTATCCTCTCTATCTCTGTTCTACCTGTGTTTATGCATCCCTTTTGAGTGATCTCAGTCACACACAAAATTATATCCTGTAATGCGTGCACCTCACAAATATGATTTGTTTTGTATATGTAGGTGTTTTTTTGCTCATAATTGTCTCTGTCTCTCTCTGTCTGTCTGTCTCTCTCTCTCTGTCTGTCTGTCTCTCTCTCTGTCTCTCTCTCTCTCTCTCTGTCTCTCTCTTTCTCTCTGTCTCAGCAGCTATAGACTGTGAGGTGGGTCAATGGGGTGCTTGGTCCCCATGTTCGTCTGTGTGTGGCGTGGGCACAACAGAGCGGAGCCGTCAGGTGACCACGCCCCCTCGCAACGGAGGCTCGCCTTGTCCCGATCTCAAGCAGCGCAGAGGCTGCCTCGCACATATGGATGCTTGCAGTGCTGCCAAGGGTAACACACTGACTGCATTACTGATAATACAAGTGGGGCTATCATGGTTACTTGATGAAACCATTGTTTGCTGCGTTAAAAAATAACAGATTCAAATATACCATATCACTGAATCAATGCTGGTTTCTCTTACAGTGATAAATAGAGGCTGGCACACGCTCAGTACAGATGAAGTACTGCGAAAATTCAGAAGCAACCAGTCGGTTATTTAAATTTCCAGTCATCATGGCCATTAAGTAGAAGTGATTCATTTTTCAGGAGATATTTCTGCGAATAGATTTAAAATAATACATATGAATAAGGCAGGAAAAAGTCAAAGGAAAATTAGTGAAAAAAAAACAGAACTTTCCAAAACTGGAGTTCAGAAAATTATTAAAATATACAGAAAGAATTGGACTCTTAACAACCTTACAAGACCTGATAGACCACCAAAAGTGTCACCATTATAGAAACAGTACTTAAACCTTTCAGATCTGAAAAAATCCACAAGTTTTTCTGTCCATGCTTCCACTATGAGAAGACAACTCAACACTATGTGTCTGAAAGAATGTGTAGATGTCAAGAAGCTGTTACTAAGAAAAGGAAATATTTGCAAATGGAACAAAAACTGTTCTCAGAACATTGGACTGACCACCGCAGAGCCCAGACCTCAATGTAGAATGTGTTTGGGATTACGTGGATTGTGAGAAGCAGAAAATGCAACCAACTTCTAAGACTGAACTTTGAAGGTGTGAGAAAATATCTTATATATCTAGCAGATTTCTTTTAAAAACTGAAAGCAAGTCTCCTGAAATGAAAGAAAGCTGTAATAAAGGCAAAAGGTGAGCATGTTATATACTGAAAAAATTAATTATATAGTTAGGGTTAGGCTTGTAATTTTATGCTAAATATATATTTTCTTTTTTTCCTAATGCTGAAAAGTATGTTTTTACTGAAAATTAAATGAATTATGAGTTTTGCATGGTACTGTAAATTTTCCAAAAAAGTCTTTTTTTAAAGATTTCCTCTTTAGTTCATGTTTATTGTCTGGACTATTATTAATTTAATTGTTTGGACTCTGATATCTTGATTAATTGTCAAAATAATGAGTAGGTTCCTTAGAAAATATAATTTATAACAAGAATCCCAAGTACAAGTACTGAAGTCACAAAGGAGAAAGAGTGAGAGAGAAAGAGGGAGAGCAAGAGCGAGAAATCAGCCATGTGTGTTTGTGATTGCTGGTGGTTTTGTGGAGCTCTGGGGCTCTGTGATTATTTCAGTGTGGTCTCAGGAGTGTGATGAATGGAGATAAAAGTGATGAGAAATGTGCTTTTGTGTTTTGTTCACAAAAAGTGGAGCCAGTTTAAATAGAAAGAGAATTCCCACATCAGTAATATAATATTAATCTCTCTCTGTCTTCAGAGGTTTGAAGGTTTTGTCTTCCACATTTTTTGCACAGCTGTGTGTGTGTCTCCACACACAGCTGTGTGTACAGTGTTCAGAACGTGAAGACTAGCCAGATTTCTCAGTTAAAGAGCACAGCAAGGAGCATGAAAGTGCACAGTGCACAACATAGAGTTCTCTGTATGTGCACACTGTCTAAACAGTAACTTGATTATTAGTCTGTTTTGGGGAAAAAACTGACATTAACAAAATGCATTGTAATCCTCTATGATGTTCATAAAATAAACATGGTCATGGTCTGCTAGATTGCAGTGCACTCCATAAAGCATAAGGGACTATATAATCTTGGGGGCCAAGCATGATCTTGTAACCTGTATGGACCTATATGGAATGTTGAGGTAAATGTGGGTAGGAAAGTAGAATTTTTAGGGTGAGAACAAACTAAATGTGAAATTTCTAAACCAATCCAATGGTTTGGTAAAGCAGAGATCAAAGTAGGAGAGATGGTCTGCTCATCACCAAGCCTGTTGTTAGCCCATGGATGTAACATAATTTACATGTGTGTTGTTTGTGAGGGGAACACATTAAATGCGGTAAAATTAAACATTACCTCTTGCAAGGCAAAACAGTTCTGTTAGCCACTGATTAGGATTCGCTAGCTGGCTTGTCTTACTTATGTTATCAATTGCTCAGGATGTTAAAAGACCACAGGCAAGAACAACTGGGGGTGGGTTTTAGAGGAGGCATATCCTTGTTTGTGGCAGATTTCACTGTAGTCTTACTACCAAAAGATAAACAAATTGTCCCTAGATGTGTATTCCAATTAAGAAATCATATCTGGCCTCGCAAAACTAGGGATGATATGGCTTGCGTTGTGTTTTGGCACCACAGATGAACATGAATTGTTTGGCTCACATTCAAAACTTGAATGATGTAGTTCAATTAAGTCAATTAAATGAATAATTGTCAATCGATTAAGATTGTAGAAATAATCCTTAATTCGAGCCCTAGAGTCAGTGTTTAGCAACATGTATGAAACCAAAATGGATCCCTATTTGCATTTTTGGCCATTACTACATGCATGAGCCATGCTCCTCTTGGTGCCTGATCGTAAACTGGAATTCCAGAGTGATTTAAAGACACTAAAATTTCCCACAATGCACTCTTAATTTCCAGTGTACTCTGTAAGATCACTAAATTAGCTGAACGTGTAGTTACACTCATCAGACTTTCTCAACTGTCTAGCAAAGCACTGTAATAAACAGCAGGTCTGTGAAAAAAATGAAAAAACAAAGACCCTAAAGTGTTGACAGAATTTGTTCTCTTTTTCTCTACATTTTTACAGAGGTGGCCAGGATCTTACCTGACTCATTCAAACGCAACTTTAAGGACCCCTGGAGACGACCTCACATGCTTATAAAAGAGGAGAAGAAGAGGTGAGGCAACAGCATTTTAAACACAATGTCTTTCCCTAGTATTTCTGAACATTTGTAAACACTTTTACTGTACTGTGCTGCAAGCTGTAAGCAGTATTTGGTCCCTGAACCTTAGTCATAGAAGTGTCTTTATAAGCTTAAACATGTACCACTTTGTGCTTTGATGTTGAAACAAATTGGCCTAGGACAACACGACCAGACATTATCTCTGACCATTATCTCAGTAATGACCTGGAATAATATGACGCACACACACACACAGATCCCTCTGCGTATTTTAGTGTTATGGCGACTGGACTCTTGGGAGGGTTGTTTCCTGTGAACAGATAACTGCAAAAACCCGATATCTGTGTTTTGACTGAGAGCACAGAGAAAAGCTGTCAGGATTTGGCAGCCCTGCGCAGCCTTTGTCTAATGATATACAAAGTATCCGCCTCAATTAGACTTCCAAATGCGTGCTCTGTGTGTGTGGCATGTTTAGTAATGGAAGGGAAAGTGTTTCAGGAAATTAACAGTGTTAGTCCCCGAGAGAGAACTTTGTGTGTTTTTGTTTTCTCTGTGCGTGCGCATGAGTGCGTATGAAATGTGTACATTTGCTTTGGGTGAATTGGAGAGACTATTAAGTTACAGATGATCTAAACTGAGCTGGCTAGTGCTGTGTGAAAACACTTTTAGCCGTGTAAGTTGGAATTAGTAATTACTTTCTCTGTGTGTGTAGTAGTCAAGCTCCAGTGAATCAGAGAATATGTTTGTGGGTAGCAGTGACACAGCTAGAGGTTCATCTAAGGGGTGGCCTCTTTAGAGGTTGGGAGGGCCGGCTATAAATCATTAAGGCCCAGAGACTCGCTATGGTGAGCATGATAACAATGACGACTAACAACTAGTAACTTAATTGTAGCTAAATCATTAGAAAATTATCCTCGCAATACCATAAGCAGAAGGGGGAAAAGCTTTGTGAATAATAAAGACAACACACAGTCACTTAGCTGGCTAGCGTTAGTTACTATACCAACTAACAGCATTCCACAACAGTTACAGCCTAATTAACCATACTAAGTCATACAAATGTAATTTCGACAGTTGCTTTTTGACTGTATGAGGGGGGAAACGCTCATATTCACTGAATATCAGCTTAACTTTACCAAGCTAGTAAGAAGGCTCTAGGAACTAGTACAGCAACGCTCATTAATGAATCAAGCTGATGCTGTATTAACCTGTTGGTGTAGAAAAAAGCATCTTTCTACACGTTTTGTTTGACCAACCGCAGCATGCGGCATGTTAACGTTTCCATTGTGTTTGTGTCTGCTGAAATTTTTTCATGTTCTAAAGCCCATGTGTCAAACACAAGGCCAGATCAGGCCTGCCACAAAATCCTATCCAGCTGCAAAGGTATTTTAATTTTCTATTATTATTAGCCTGTTTCACAATGTGCTGCACTACAGTCCCCATCATGCACTGTAACGTAATGTGCTCTGACTCTCCTACCCCAACAACAGTCTATGGGACAGCGATTACACCTCAATTCTACACAATTTTGCACAATTCCACACCAGTCATATCACCAAAATGCATTTCAGCTGCGGTTCAACCAATATAAACACTTAACGTCAGCTCAGCAGCTCGGAAATTGAGACCAAGTCTTAATGAACTTGCAGCAAAGAAAGGATGCTAGGTGTCTAGTTCAAGCAAATAGATTTAAAGGACCAAGCACCTGGGGACAGTTTAAATTTTGAATATTTAAAGTGTCCATGTAATATTTCAAGGTCTACTACAAGTGTCTGTATATTACTGTTGAAGTTTTTGCATACTTGAATAAAAAATGGCCAGTTTGGGTTATAACACATGGATTAAATTAAATAAAATGAAATAAAAACATTTTTCCCTCTGGCCACAGATTTGATGAGATTTTTTAGTATGGTCCTTTTACTGGTTGAGTTCTGAAGCTTTGTCAGTATCTTTTATTTATTTAAGTCATGAGACTGCAAGAAAACAGCACCTTTGCACATGATGGCCTTACATTCACATCAGAGAGCCTTTTTTTTAACAGTCAGAAATCTGGTTTTCAAGTGGAGGGGCCTAAGCTCCCCTCAGGCCCTCTATAGCTATCCCCCTGGCGTATAGTGGTGTTTAATTCAACAAGAATTAAGAGTCGAGTACAGTGAAGTTTCTGCATGAGCAAATGAAACTTTAATGATATGAAATGGATCTCTTGGGGAGTTGTGACTTCCTCCTAATCACGGGTGTGTTGAATCACAGGATGAAGACAAATCTGTTTGTGTGTGTGAGAGAGAGAGAGACAACGTTTGTGCTCAGGGGGGAGACACAGCAAAACATGAATTAATTAAATTCAGCTTGGGTGGCCTTCCCTGCTCTGCCCATGTCCACGCCCACACTCTCTCTCATACAGAGATAGTGAGAGAGAGAAAATAAATGAATGTTCCAGTTGTGTCTGTATTTTTAAATAATATTACTGAAATTAACTAAAATTATTTATTTCAGTTAGTTTATTTTAGTTTTTTATCTTGTACAAATAAAGCTCTAAATGAAAATAACAGCACAATCACAAAGAGGAAAATAATAAGCGACAATAAATCTAGGCAAATGCTAGCCTAAACAAATATGTTTTAATCAGGATTTAAAAAGCTTGCATTCCTAAAATTTCCTGGAATGCTATTCCAGTGTTTAGGAGATATATACACCATTCTACTGAATTAGTTCAAACTGCAGTTCCACAGTTAAAAAAAACTATTTAAAAAAAAACAGTCAAGTATTCAGAACTTAGATGTTTACAAGAAATATGTATGATCTGTTTAATTCCAAGGAATTAACTGAGATAGTAATAATTTAAATATATACAAAACCACCATTTATAGGGTATTTTCTGTTGGGAGGTGGCTGCTTCAAAACCTAACCCCTGAATTTCAACCTGTGGAAATAAGTTGAATTAAATAAATAAAAAGATACTTTATCCAAAAAATGCTGACTGAGTATTACTCCATGGATGGAGCCTTATTTTAGCCACACCATGCATTTTAGAGCAGAAAGTGAGACTGCATCCCTGTCCTTCATGGCCATGTGTTGAGCAGTTACATCCCAATGTTTTGAAGTAAATGTGTCAGAAAAATCAGTGCGCAACGTTAAGAATTCTCACTATCGAAACGTATATTTTCTCCAGTGAAGTGAATGTTTTATGTTGTAATGAAAGGCTAAAGTCCTGAATCTGAAGACTTTAGACTCGACCCGAAAAAATCGAGATAAACTTGGGACTCAACTTTGACTTCAACACCAGTGACTCTGACTCTGATTCGGACTTGAGCGTCATGACATGGAAAGACTCGAGACTCAAAGTGGAAGAGTCTGACTGCAGACGGGACTCTCACAATTGATTATTTTGCAAGTGAATAAATAAGTTTCCTGCCGTAATTTGAATAAACAGCAAGGTCCGCTGTGCAGTGATTACTGTGCTTCTGCTCGGTTTGTTTTATTTTGGAATAGAAGTGAAGCGTTAGAGCTTAAGTTCGCCTCCATAAGCTGGAAACAAGCAAAGCATCAACATTATCAGTAAGCCCTCACTCAGAGCTGAAACTCCAATCTTACTGGAGAAACTCACCAGGCGAACTCACCATTTTTCTCACGGTAGCAAAACAAAAGAAACACAGCTCTCTCTATTTGACCATTTAACAGCTTCTGCAGGTAAAACAAGCTCAACATTCACCACAAGGCTAAGGTTACTTGTTATTCGCCAGATTCATATTGGAATTTGCCGTTCCACCCTAAATGGTGCAGCAGGTAGATGCTGGAATGTTAATGATTTTGTATTTTAGTAAAAAAAAATATAAAATAAAAAATGAATATACAGCCATGTACTGCTAACATGCTCTCATTAAAAGGCTATAGTACTGCTACCATTATTCATTGTTGTGGCCTTAGCTGAAAAATGCATACTGATTTGTCTCGGACTCGAAGAGTAGGACTATTGACTTGGGACTCGACCTGAGACTCACCTGTACTGACTCGGGACTTGAGTGTGGAGACTTGAGACTTACTTGTTACTTGCAACTTAGTGACTTGTTCTCACCTCCTAAGGGCTTTCAGTAAGCCTGTTCCAGCTGAGTGAAGTGGTCGGAAGGGGCTATAATACTTCAGCAGATCAGTAAGATATGCTGGAGCTAGGCCATTAAGAGAATTAAATGTAAGCAAGATCTTGTAGTCATTGCGGAACTTAACAGGAAGCCTGTGTACACTGAATAAGACTGGAGGAAAATGCTCAAACGTTCTTTACCTAGTAAGCACACAGGCTGCTGCATTCTAGACTAGTTGGAGCTTATTTAGAGAGACGACAGGGCAACCAGCCAATAAAAAAAAAGTTTTACACACTGAAATGTCCATGCCATGCAATCGGTCAGTTTTTTTTGGGAGTTTTCTGGCCTAGTTTTCTCAGTAGACTTTTTGTGGTGTTTGTGGTGAGACGCTCTTACAGACAGATTAAGTCTCTGGAAACAGTTGAAAGCAGCAGTTTGACTTTGTAGTGTGAGAGAGTAGAAGACAAAGGGAGGGTGAGGCAGGGGAAAAGAAGTGGAGAGTGGGGCAGAGGAGAGGGGAGATGGGGTCATCACAAGTATGACTGTCATTGTTTTTATTTTAGCTCTTAAATTCTGACACCTCCCTGTCTTTGTCATTGTGTTTTGGCACCAGAGAGTCCAGAAATGGTCCACTGAAGTGTTACAGTTAATTATCCGTTCTTTAACATCTGTTTGTAAACCAAGCATTTAGAATTACAAATTGTTATTTCTCTCTCTCTCTCTCTCTCTCTCTCTCTCTCTCTCTCTCTCTCTCTCTCTCTCTCTCTCTCTCTCTCTCTCTCTCATGCCCTCTGCTGTAGTTATTGTGTGTACATGCGTGTGAAGCAGGTCAGCGCTGCATGCAGGTTAAAGCTGTGGAGCACTCAGCTTGTCCGAGAGCGCTCTGTGTGTGTCGAGTGTCAGGGTGATGCCATGGCAACTGACAACCGCTGCCGAGGAGATGGACTGCAGAGCATCAGGTGAGCTTTGTAAAAAAGCCCAATATACATTATGGCTGCTTTTCCACTGCACTGTACCGACTTGACTCTACTCACCTTTTTTTCATTTTTCATTAGGCAAACCTGATATTTTGTACCTGTTACCACCTCCGTTGTGGTTCCAAGTAAGCTAAACCGGTACCAAAAGGTGATGTAGAAAAACTGCAGACTACTGATTAGTCGGAGAGAAACATCACTATCACCCGAGAATTGTCTCGTCATCTGAAACCTGATGTAGTATTTCCCAAAATCTCCTGTTTTTCTCAGCAGTCTTTTATCTTGCTGCCATTGGCATCTTCTAAACAAATTTGTCTCCTTCATGTCGTGACAGTTTCATGTGGTGTTGCTGTGATGACCAGCTACATTGATATCTGCAGTGGAAAATTAAGTAGTTGGTAGCAAAAGCGAGTCGAGGCGACTAGAGTTAAGCTGGTACCATGCAGTGGAAAAGTGGCTTATATGTCCAAGAGTATCCAGACACTCCTTCTGATGAGTGAATTCAGTTTGTTAAAGGTGCTCCCACTGAAAACCTAGGTGTTTAATTGTGTGCACATAGCTTGTAGGCTATAATCTCCATGGAAAAGCATTACCAAAAGTATGGGATACTCTGGAGCAGCTGTACATGAGCCTGAGGTCACTATGCCCAATGGCAGGCTTCATCTAGAGGGGTATGAAGCCCCCCACCATTAGGCTGTGGAGTTGTGGAATTGTGTTCTCTGGAGTTCCATCCAGTGCCTTTGGGATGAGTTGGCATTTGTGATCCAGAACTGATCATCCAATGTCAGTACTTGACCTCACTAACGCTCTTGTGGCTGAATGCAGTCAAATCCTCACGGCAGTGCTCCAACATTTAGTGTAAATCTCAGAAGTGTAGAGGCTGTTACTGGAGGTAGGGAGGTAAGTGGACAAACTCCCAATTAATAGCCCTGATTTCAGAAGAAACATTGCATGAGCAGGTATCTAAACACTTTTGGACATATAGTGCATGTACAATATTGTCCCGGTCATAACAAAACCTTGTGTCCCAGGATTGGAAACTATACAGGAAATAGGAAAAATGTTAACTTTAAAGTCAGTGTGATTAGAAATTCCTAACACATTTTCCCTTAGTACCGTGATGTATTTCCGAGTGAAACACCAGAGGAGGTCTCTGTGCTAGCTGAACGTTTTCACTCGATAATAGGTCGGGTTGATTAGAAGCGGTGATGAAACATGATATTATTGGTTAATATTATTTCTTCCCCACATGCTCATGCACAGTGACATAGCCAAAAATCAGAACATGTTTTAGAGGTGGACAAAAGTTTTACATTTCGATGTAATGCTGTTTTAAAAATCAGAGGTGGCAGGTCAGTATTTTTCGGACCTCATCTTTAAATATTAATGTCACACGCATAGACTTGAAAAGAAGGACCAGCTCGATGTTTAGGTCTCAGGTGCAAAATCAACATTATACTGATGAATAATTGATGACAATAGTATTCATTCATTACATCCTTAGAAGACACAACCTTCACCAAATTTTGACTGAGTTTGACTCTTTGAATACTCTTTCAATGTGCTTACAATTATCAGATTCATCTCCTCGAGGAAGGAAGCAGAATCAATGTTATAAAATGTTCTTCTGCACATTTCATGCAATTGCACATTTCCATTAGAGAGGTCAGCAAATCCCCAACATGTGTAAAGAGCAGCCTGAATTTATAATAATGAAAAATTATATTATTCCAGATAATTTTGGATTTTTTTCAAAGTTTGATTTTGTCCGTTTGTCATAAACTGCTGCAAGTTAAAAGGGGCAGTTGCCATTTTCAAATGGTGGTAGAAAAAAATAAAATTATGAGGTTTTCATATATCTGTCCTCTATATTTAGACAGAATACCACTCAATTTTTAAATTGCTTTCTTTTGCTTGGAATGTCACCCCTTAGAACCTTCTGGGCAGCAGCATCAGCGCCAGGCTGCTACGGATCTTGGATCAGAGAATCTTCAAACGAGAACTGTCATTGCCCTCCTTACTCTCTACTGTTTGTTTGAATAAAACACTTCTTTAAATTCAGTCTAAGGAGCATGGCAGCACCCAGTAAGCTAGAAGGGACCTGGAGAGCCTGCTGTTCTGGGAGCTATGGGAAAAATAGTTGTCTTCTGCCCCCCTGTACTTTGATGTGAATTCACACTTCAGTGCATATGTTCTCTTTTACAATCACACCAGTCACGTTATATAATATAACCACTCACGACTGCTGGATATCCACTTCACTGCAAAAAAGCGCAACTATTTTCTTCTTACCTCTGAAACTTTACTACCTCCAAAAGGCACCTGCCTTATCATCTTACATCTCTTATGTGGATGTCATGCTACTTGATCCCTTTTCTATTTCTGTATGCATAGAAATCAATCAATGCATGAACCTTTTTTGTATCATTTGTGTATAAATGAGACAATGTGTTCAGGTTGCGATTGTTTTTGAATATGTGCTTGCACAGTAAGTACTGATGCATGTAAAATCCACACTTTTGTTTTTCAAAGGGAAATTCCACTGAATTATTCAATCCTTGAGATGTGAACAAAGTCATTCAGAATGTTTTGATGTGAAATGGTTCACTGTAGAGAAATTCACCGTTTCAAGTTTCTTTACAATGGTGAAAGAAAGTTGAGGTCACAATGTCTACAATGCAAATATATACATTTTATTAGAGGATTAGTGAACCTACATTGCCTTTTGAAATAGTGGTAAATGTAAAATGTAAAATAGTGGTAAATCTGAAAAAATACATTTTCTTGAGGGACTATTTTGTCTTAGAACGCCATTTATGTAGCTCTCCGTTGTGAATGGATTTTAAAAAAAAATGTTTTAGGCCAAAACGTGGCATATTCCAGTACTTCATGTAACAGCTTTCTGTGAGGTTGCATTTGGATGCATTAACCACTTTGGATGTCTGGCTTTCACTAGAAAGGAGCATTTCACATCAAACCACTCTGACTTTGTGGAATTTCTCTTTAATGTTTCTCCAAGTGAAATCCAGTGTGTATTTCATGTCTCTGGAGCTTCTTCTTCACTGTATTGTAGTTCTTTATTTCAACTGTGACTTACTGGAAGCATGCTAGACTATGTGATGACAACAAAAATGTAGTTTTATGACAAAGTCCCTTAAATATGAACACAACACTACAAGTATGAGCTTGTCACTTGTGTTCTTATTTGTTTCTGGCCCATATTTTATTTATTGTAAGTCTAATCTTTGTAAGCTTGTTTTAATGCACTATCCCAGTACCCCCAGGTTATAATTCTTTTCAGCTATTCAAATACTGTCAAATTAAAGCTATTTATATTCTTTCACTTTCTTTTTGTGCTCACTTGTATCATGTTTTTCACAATTTCATCTTAAGCTATTTAAGCTTTTGTTTGTAATGTTTTTAAATGTATTTTTTTCTTTTTGTGTTTATTAGTCTTATCACCTAATAAATGTCTTACATTCCACTGTGTTTTCAGGTTACCTTTAGCATCTGCTGTTAGTGTTTTCCCTCTCTGCAGCTGGACAAAAAAAAGCACTTAAACGGTTTTCCACCCTGTACTGCTATTAGGAGCTGGCGACAGTTGACCAAACCAGATATTTACCACGGCTACATGTGCTCATTATAGTTCAAAGAGGTAGTGTGTGTATGCACATATACGTGCACACACTCCTGTGTACATTCACCTCTAAACATGGCCATTCTTGACATTTTCAACAGTTACTACAGGCAAATTAGATGAATGGTAATACATTAAAGATCAATATTGAGACAAAGATTATAGATATTGAGGGAAAAAATGTTTGCATGTTTGCAGAAAAATGCCATATTTATGTGTGTTTCCTGTAGACATATTAACTTATTTTCGCTTAGGAAATCAACAAAACATTTAATTTGATTGGAGTTGATCAAACATTTATGACTATACATTGACTCTGTAACACTGTTAAGGTTTGTTAAAAGCAGAGAAAAATTTCAAATGTTGTCTCTGCTCATTCTGTGTATGTATGCACACCCACATATTGTCTCTCCTACATACACAAACACACTCACACTCACTCACTCACTCCCACGCTGCAGTCAGCAGAATTCTTTATTCTTTGCAGCGTCGTAGAGTCGCCATGTCACTACGTCATTGCTGGGCCTCTTTTTCCAGCGACATTATTTTTGGACTGTAAACCTGAATGATTGGTAGATGCTACTTTTCATTAACATTCGTTACAAATGTTTCTGTCAAATAATTGCAATAATTAAACATGACTGATCATAGTATTTTTGTAGTTAATCATGGTTAATCAGATTTGTCTTATTCAAATTTGACCCTAAATAATTTAAAAAGTAATGCAGTTATAGCTATGTGAGTGGACAAAATAAGCTTCAGCACAATGTATGTACAACTATCAGTAATTCAATAACATTAGTTTCATCATATGTATGCAGGGTTCCAGTTACCTGGGGGGAGGGGAGCGGGATCACACTTTTTGTGAACCTTTATTGGGCAACTGTACACCAGTGACTCACAGAAAAATCCAACTTCTTAACAGCATACCTCACCAGTGAGCTTTCATGCCAGCCCTGACTTCTATTTCCCCTTATTCATAATGCTTCTCATCCATGTGAACCATTTTCAAATGAATCTTTCACAACCTGAACCATTCATTTTACAACCCCATTTCCAAAAACGTTGGGACGCTGTGCAGAATGTAAAAAAAAATTAGAATGCAATGATATGCAAATCATGCAAACCATATTTTTAAAGGAAAATACTACAAAGACAACATATCAAACGTTTTTTTGAAAAATATATGCCCATTTTGAATTTAATGCCAACAACACGTTCCAAAAAAATTGGGATAGGGGCCTGTTTACCACTGTATTTCATCACCTCTTCTTTTAACAGCACTCTGTAAGCGTTTGGGAACTGAGGAGACCAGTTGCTGTAATTTTGAAAGTAAAACGTTTTCCTATTCTTGTTTGATATAGGATTTCAGCTGAACAGTTCGGGGGCTCATTTGTCATATTTTTCATTTAATAATGCACCAAATATTTTCACTGGGTGACAGTTTTGGACTGCAGTCCGGCCATTTCAGCACCCAGACTCTTTTAATACAGAGCCATGCTGTTGTAATACATGCAGAATGTGGTTTTGCATTGTCTTGCTGAATAAGCAAGGTCTTTTCTGAAAAAGACGTCATCTGAATGGCAGCATATGTTGCCAAAACATGTATATATTGCTCAGCATTAATGGTGCCTTCACAATTGTGCACATCACCCATGCCATTTGCACAAATGCATCCCTACACTATCATGAATACTGGCTTTTGAACTGTGCACTGATAACAACCTGGGCAGTGTTTAGCCCGGAGGACAGTGTCCATGATTTCCAAAAAGAATTTCAAATGTTGATTTGTCAGACCACAGAACACTTTTCCACTTCACCTCAGCTAATTTTAAATGAGCTCAGTCCCAGAGAAAGTGGCAGCATTTCTGGATCCTGTTTATATATGGTTTCTTCTTTGCTTTTAACTTGCATTTGTGGATGCAGCGATGATTTCCACTACAAAATAATTTCTGTTTTTAATGCAGAGCCGTCTGAGGGCCCAAAGATCATGACCAGCAAATACTGGTTTTTGGCCTTGTCCGTTGCATACAGAGATCTCTCTGGATTGTCTAAAGCTTTTAATGTTATTTTTTACTGTAAATGATGGAAAGCAATAGTTCTTTGCAATTTTACGTTGAGAAACATTATTCTCGAATTGTTGCACTATTTGCTTGTGCAGTCTTTCACAAAGTGGTGAATCCCCCCTCATCTTTACTTCTAAAAGACTCAGCCTTTCTGGGATGCTCTTTTATGCCCAATCATGTTACTGATGTGTTGCCAATCAACCACCAAATGTTTTTTTTAGCATTACACAAATTTACCAGCCTTTTGTTGCCCTGTCCCAACTTTTTTGGAACGTGTTTTTGGCATCAAATTCAAAATGGGCATATATTTTACAAGAAACAATAAAATTTCTCAGTTTCAACATTTGATATGATGTCTTTGTACTATTTTCAATGAATTGTAGGGATTAAAGGATTTGCACATCATTGCATTTTGTTTTTATTTACATTTTGCACCACGTCCCAACTTTTTTGGAAATGGGGTTGTATTATTCAAAATCTTAAAGGATCAAAATGATTCCACTGAAATAGTATATCAAAATAGTAGTTAATATAATCGCTATTTTTTGGAAACTATATATGTCTCACAACAGGGGTCCTTGGAAATCTATTTTATCTTATTTGGCCAGAGGCATGTCATGCAGGTAAATGTAATTATTGCAGTCAAGTCAAGTGGTCTTTATTGTCATTCATCAATATTAATTGTATACATGGGAACAAAATGTCATTCTTTGTGCCCAATGCTTGCAAAACACAACAGCAGCACATTACACAGGACTACACAGAGTGCAGATAAACGACAGTGTGAAATGAGTGCAGAGTATATAATAAATATACAGAACAATAAATACACAAGACAATAAATACTAAACAGGACAACAAAACAAAATATATGAATGGGCATCATATATATGTACATACACACATACATTCTTTCAAAAAACTGACAACAAGAAACAAAAGCACCATATTTTCAGGGCTCAAAGTACCTGCTGTGTCAGAAATGCACTGCCATCTTTGTCAAGAATCCATATAGGTAGTCTAACATTTAGATTATCATTAGATACTACTGAGTTGAATGGAATGCCTTGAGAGCTTCTTGGTTGAGACATAACATAATTATGACTAAACTAACAAATTCCATTGTCTTTTTTTGTCACTGAAAGTAATTTTCATATTTGGGGGCTCATCAGATCCTAGTTACATCCCTTCAGTGTACACAAGAACCAGAAAAGCATGTGATTTTCATGGAGTGAATAGATTCCCTTTTTTTAATCTTATTTTCATCACCAATGTCCAATCACAGTCAATGGTTTGAAGGGTCAATTTAGAAAAAATGTGTTAATGGGATTTAAAAATAAGCAGCATTAATAACTTTTACAGCCCTAGCTTTTACTAACCATCTCCTCTTTATAGCCCTAATCTTAAACGCAAACCTCAGGCTAAAACATTATCCTAAAGCGATATTCCTATCTTAGACCATAACAGTAACTGTGTAGTGTTATACTGTTTGCCAATTAAGTTTCACTTGATTTGTGAACAACATTCATACCTGTTGGCTATCTGCATAGAACAGTATACATACAGAGAGAATCTGAGGCCCCCAGTTTATTCACTTGCCCATGGAAACTGACTGCTGTTTAGGACCTTAAAAGTTTAAACAGGCAGCCTACACGCTCCAGTGGGGTGACAGTTCATAGAGCAGTGTGAATAACTGTACCAGGCCAATTTGAGACAGACAGGCAGGAAATGTTTTGTCATTAGCTGGTTGTTTGATGGAGCCTGACAGCAGTGGGTTCTGGGATTATGGTGCTGAAAAGAGAGGCATTCCAACCCTCCCAAAGTTTAGTTGCATGCTGGGCAAAGCAAAGTTGAACCATGCTATCAAAAGAAAAAAAGAAGAGGAAAAACTCAAATAAAGTGAATGTGGAAAAAAAGTTTAGGTGATGGGACAGGTTCTAAAACTGTCCTCCATTTGGGAGTTTGGTGTTTGTTCAGAGGGCTGGGCACTGAGATAATGCTACAGACTCAGAAAGCCTGATAATACTTGGAGGGGAATTCCAGCAGTTATTCAAAATTTCTGCATAATTCAAATGAAATGTAAACAAAGTTGTTCTGGTTTGATGTCAAATAGTGCGTTATAGAGAAACTTACTGACTTAGATTTCTTTGCAATGGTGGTAAACCAGGGGTGTTGCAATGTCTACACAAACCTACCTTTTTATTTACTCTCTAAAATGACCAGTGAATCAGCATGTCTTCTGGGTTTTCGTATGTAGTGCTGATAATCTAATAAATCTGAAAAATATGTTTTTCACGGTACTATATTGTCTTGCATGTACCTTTCCTTAACAGTCAATGTTTTCATAACCATTTATCATATAACGACTTATAGCTTTCCGTGAGGGAGCTTTTATAATGTTAAAACCTTTGGATGTCTGGTTCCTACTGACACCACTGTGAACACTCTGTAAGCTTCTCTGGAATGTTGCATTCCACATCATATCACTCAGAATTACAACCCCATTTCCAAAAAAGTTGGGACACTGTGTAAAATGTAAATAAATGTAAATATAAACAGAATGCAATGATTTGCAAATCTCATAGACCCATATTTTATTCACAATATAAAATAGAACACATATCAGATGTTGAAATTCCATTTCATGAAAAACATTAAGTCATTTCGAACTTGATGGCAGCAACGCATCTCAAAAAAGGACAGGGCAATGTCTGTTGTGTATCATCTCCTCTTCTTTTAACAACAGTCTATAAATGTCTGTGAAGCGAGGAAACAAATTGCTGGAGTTTTGGGAGAGGAATGTTGTCTTATTCTTGTAGGATTCTCGCTGCTAAACAGTCCTGGGTCTTCTTTGCCGGATTTTTTATTTCATGATGCACCAAATGTTTTCTATTGGTGAAAGGTCTGGACTGCAGGCCAGTTCTGTACCCAGACTCTTCTTTTGCAAAGCCATGCTGTTGTGATGGATGCAGTATGTGTTTTAGCATTGTCTTATTATTGTCTAATTAAAAATTTTGATTCATCTGACCACAGAACAGTTTTCCATTTGTCTCAGTCCATTTTCAATGAGCTTTTGCCCAGAGAAGATGGCAGTGTTTCTGGATTGTGTCAACATATGGCTTCTTCTTTGCATGATGCAGCTTTAACTTGCATTTGTGGATTGCACGGCAAACTGTGTTCGTGAGCCCATGCAGTGATTTCCAGTACAGAATCAGGCCTTTTTTCAATGCAGTGCCACCTGAGGGCCCAAAGATCATCCAATATTGAAGACCATCAAATATTGACCATCGTCTTCGTCCCTTGTGACAGGGATTCTCTGAATCTTTTAATGATATTATGTACTGTAGATGGTGGGATATTCAAAGTCTTTGCAATTTTACGTGGGGAAATATTTTTCTGAAATTGTTACACAATTTTTAGATGCAGTTTTTTGAAGATTGGTGAACCTTCAGCCTTTTTTTGCCCCGTCCCAACTTTTTTGAGATACGTTGCTGCCATCAAGTTCTAAATGAGTTTATGTTTTTCATGAAATAGTAAAATGTCTCACTTTCAACATCTGATATGTGTTCTATGTTCTATTGTGAATAAAATATGGGTCTATGAGATTTGCAAATCACTGCATTCTGTTTTTATTTACATTTATTTTACACAACATCCCACCTTTTTTGGAATTGGGGTTATATATACTGTATATCCACATTACGTACTACGTATTTTCACCTCCTAAAATATCCCTGTAGTACTAATATAGAACACTTGATAATACTTATGTATTGTATACTAATAGTAATTGTCCAACCAGCATATGTTGTGTTTTGGATGCTGGTATGCTGCAATGAAAGTTATTAGGTTGATCACCAACCAGAATGACCATCTAAACCAGCACCAGGTCAGTTTAAACCAGCATAAACCAGCATAGACTAGCTTAGACCAGCATCCAGCAGGGTACTGTAAGAGTCTTGTAGGGATCTTATTAAAATTTCAGTACTATTTTTTTTTCATGAGCTCTGTTTTAGGCTACCATAAAGACTACGTTATGCAACACTGATAACTGAAATTGGTCTTTTTTCCTCAGGTAAACAGCCCCCCTCCCCGCCCTGCCCATTCCCCGAGGTCACAAATTCCTCTGTGTTGAAGTGCCGTTGTCACTGAGAAGAACAGCTGGTATTGCGCGCTAATGAGCGCTTTGAGGCGCGCGCGCAGCTGTAGCTGCAAGAATGCTAATGAATAGCGCCAACCGTTACTGTGTGGTGAAACACACATGGCCCGCAACAAGAGAAATGGAGCACTTTACAGGAGTTTGCGCTCATCGCTCGTCTGAGGTAAATCAGTGTGACACTTTGCTGTGTAGGGGGTATTTCACAGTTTTTGTTTGTCCGGATAACTTAAGCCAAAAGTCAAACCAGTCCAATGGGAAAACAGCTGAGGGACATTCCTACCGGGCAGTCTTCATCACTGGGCTAAGGTTATCTGGCTAACGAAATCCTGCTTTGTGAAATACCCACTAGATGTTACCAGCGTTATTTTCAAATAAAAATGTCTCCATCTAGCGGTAGGTCTTTGTTATTGCAATGTCTAAACCCAGTTCCCTCAGCAAGGCCGAGTTTAATCACTCAGATTACATCTTGAATAAATGCGAATAGAAGACTTATGTAAAATGTCATATTTTATTGTTTTCTTCACATAATACATTTCATATCATATTCGGTTTCATACATACGTGGTTTGCTCTGAAGGGGAGTAACAATTCCATTTGTATACAATGACCTTAGCTTAATTGAAAAATTACTTTTCCAACATAAAGCCACATTCAGAGATTTCAGTTCAACAAAGAGGCAGTCTCACTACCCAAACTGAGGCCATGCTGCCCTTCTTCACATCATACCTACATCTCTGAATGCATCAATGACAATAAACAGCATAAAATATCACATTTAAACAACTAGATTTGAGTTGTTAATCATGTAATCCAACCTACTTTTCCAGTTTACACCGGAAGAGTAGTTGTACTTTCAAGAATCAGTGGGAATACAGCCTACATTTTACACAAGCAAGTGCTTTACAAAGTCCTGATTGTGGCTTTTACTGAACTATGACATACGTTAAGCTCTTCATATTCTTTCAGACCATGAAACACAACCTAGTAACTTCTTAAAAAACAAACAAAACAATAAGAGCTTGAATGGAGACAGATTTGAACATCTCCCCATCGGACAAAAAAAAAAATATCACTTAATTCCAGATGAAAAAAGGCATCAAGTGTGGATTCAGTGTAAGATATATTAAGACTCAAAAACGAACAAAGATTCAGTGAAATGCTATGGCCAATTAAAAAAGTGATGAAACTGAACTGATCAGATTTTAGCATTAAGGCATGATTAACTGGCCCAATACTTCCCTGCTGCAACTATTTTCCAGTTAGTGTTCTACTCATAAACCCTGTGGTTTCTTTTCAGTCCCTTAAGCACATATGACCAAAACATATGTGAAATGATTGATCCAGGCTGCCTAACTAAAAAGCTAAAAAGTGGCACACCTCCTTCTAGTACAGAAAAAAATGCTCATATAACATTGGCTGAGCTGCTAGCTAGTCAAACAAAAGCACTTTTTCCAATTCACCTCTTACGAGTATGAGCATTGTGTGAATTAGTAGTGCTTGAATTTTGACTAGCTGCACTGTTAGAGAAGGCCAGCAGGCCAGTCTGCAGATTAACCTTGTCATGTGGTAGAGTTGGACATTTGGCCTATTCTGCATGACTCGACACTCAAGAAAAAAAAATTACTTGAAGATCCATGCATTAGCTGTTACCTTCCATGACTTGTGACACCGCGATGAAGAGAGACCAGCTACACTGCTGTTGCTGGAAGAACAGTAAAACTTAAAAAAAAAAAAGTTCTGAACTGCCCACTCAAACAATATGCACTCAAAAATGCTTACAAACTCTTGTTTATAGTGTGTTCTTGAACATCCGGGTGGCCACTGGAGTTGACAGCAGTCTCTAAGCTCATTTAAGGTTTTTGATCTGGCGGTTGGTGGAGCTAATCTTGCCGTCCATGGAGTCCACTTTATTAAGTAGTGAATCCAGAGAAACGTCTTGGTCATCAATCTCTGACTGCAGCCCGAGTCCCAAGTTCTTCAGCCGACTCAGACCCAGAGAAATATCATCTGGATAGAATACAAACATACACAGCCTCAAGTAATGTCTCTTTCCTTCATTAATCCCTTAATTCTTTTAATCATCTGTTCACTGACATTTCTTACCTAGGTTATTGTCCAGTTGTTGATGAGCAGCTCTCAGCTGTTTATTCTTTGGGTATCCGTTCTGACTGGAAGGTTCATTATCAAATGAAGCAGAAGCTCCAAACCCTATTTGACCAAACGTTACAGGCAAGCTTTAACAAAAACTGTGCTCTTCCATTTTAACTACTCATTTAAAAATGTAATGGATGTGTTTTCAAGAAATATATGGTTTTCCATGATATAAGCACTAATTGAGACTGAACTAAGTGGGATAAGCATGCTTTTTTGCTCACCGGATGTGTCCAGTTTCCTTAGGTTGGGGTGGCTGGCCTCGTATTTACCCTCCTGCTCTTTGCTCTCTGTCAGCGCAGTCTGTAGCCTAATGGTTATTACAAACAACACAGTCTCAATCAGTATGTTTGTGAAGTCATATCACTGTTTGTCGTTCCTTATAACTTTCAATATAGTTAACATTTATGCTTATGTGTTCATTAATTACTGTTTCCAGTTGTGCCACAACCACAAGCAACCAAGAAAGCCAGGAAAATAATGTTTAATGTTCTTAACAAATTTTATGTGAGCTTTGCATATGTTTACTCAACTACACTGGAACTTTGTGTGAGTAAGTGCTGTCTTAGTACCTGCTGTTGGCTTGATAGGCTGTGGGTGGTTCCTTTTGTGGAGGCCTTGGCTCAGGTTTGCCTTTGAAGTAATTGACCAGACCTCCCCATACACTCTTAATGGAGTTTATGTGCCTTTGACTAGTCCTCATGTCCTGCTCCATATTATCAACCATTCTCTCTGTCCTCTTCAAAACCTCACCTTGGCGAATAAGCTCCTGCAATAGAGATACAAATACAAAAGAGAATATAATGGAGAAACAACAAAAATCTTAGAAACATCTTAAGAATAAAAAAAAAACTCATTAAGTCATGTCATGTAACACAATTCATCTCCTCACATTGAGAGCACTCTGATCATTTAAAAACATCTCACCTCTGCTGTCTCAGTTCCAATTTTTTCCGATTCATAGATAAGACCAAGTGACCGATTGCTGCTGTCCACAGCGGACTTTGCTGTGCGCATCACCTCCTGCTCAAGCTGCCGCTGCCGCCGCTCGGCAGGGCTCAGCTTTCGCTCTTCATCTTCTTCATCATCAAAGTTAAAGCCTCTCCTCGGCCCTGCCGGTTCCTCATCATCATCATCTGCGAAGGGGTTGTGGGATTTAGGATACGCCGCCATCCTCTGACACCAGCTGAAGCGCCTACGAAAGAAAAAGGAAAAGGACATGAGAGTTCTTGCTCGAGCATGTAATGTAACAGCACCTATTGGGTCAACTGTAAATTTGTTCTGCTTCTATTTTAATTTTGCTGTAATGGGGTATTTCACAAACCAGGCATTCTGAGTTAATCAGATACAAGCACAGGGTCAAGCCTGTCAGAGGGAAAGAACGCTTCTATAGGAGAGTCCTCACTTTACGCTGAAGATATAGTGCTTAGACAGAAGGCAATGAAAGGAGGAAAAGGAAGCTGCGAAAGGTGAAGAAAGAATGTTACGGACTGGCTTCCTCTGCAGGGTCTAAGTCGACTTTGTAAACGTTATGCGAGAGTAATCCAGCTTCACCGATAAAGCCTGGTTTGTAAATGAAAACCAGAGGAGCTATACATATAACCTAAACAAATAAGATTGAACTGAACATAAGCGACAGTTTGGCTGAGCTAATTTCTTTATAGCATACCTAAATGAACAATGTCCATAGTATTTCCATCTTGTTATTAAATAATGCGGGAAATGTTAGTTTGTTGCTTATCAAACAAGTGCTGGCTGTGCAAAAGTCATGACGTAAGTTACTTAACCTAGCTAACGTTACTACGAGAAAGTAGTAACAGATCTCATACCCAACTGATTCACACTATATAGCTAGCAAACATATAAACTAATAATAACATCAACCAAGTTTAAACATCCACACAGAACAGAAAACAGCTAGTCAGCGTTAGCTAAACTAAGCAAAGATAAGCACCACAACACTAACTTTAGCTGGCTTCACTCACAGCAGGTTATACTGGCAAACTCATCTGAAACAGACAATTAGTTATTATCTGACTTATCGTTATAAAGTGAATAAACAAAGAATCTCTTTTTACATGTCTACTCTAAAAACTAGTCTGCCTAGACTCTTCTGCTAGCAGTTAACTTAGGTAAGAGTTGCTAACAAAGCTAGCGCTGTAGGTTAGCTAGATAAAGTGACACTGCTACGAACACAGAGTTCGATAAATTCAAAGACAGACACTTCACCCGTTACAGCTTTCCTTCGACAACAGTGCAAACACCAGATGTATGTCTATGAAGATTAGGCTAAGGTTAGAGCCTAACGTACCCCTGATCTCTGAACGGTGGTGTGTTCTCAGCGTTATCAGGTGACTGTGTAGAAACAGCTTCCTGACTCGCCGTGATGACGTCGGAGCGGCACGACGTACGTACATGACGCACAATACTATAAACACAATACGATAGATAGATCGATCATATTTCACAATTCTTTACAAAATATATCCCTGTAATTCTGTTGTGTAATTCTCTCTTTTCTCTTTTTAAAATTTACAGATACATATGACTTGTATACGTTTAGTAGGGAGGAAAGTGAATCAGTGGTTGACATGTTTTATAATTGTATCTTTGTAGATAGCAAAAATGATCTGGCCCGGATCCGGCGCAAATCATCCAAAAGCTCCGGCCCAGGTCCGTAAAACGGATCTGGCCCTGTCCCCTTTTGCACAGTGGGCCAATACTGGTACAGATCCGGTTTGCGGATTTGGGCCAATACCGGCCCAGCACTGGGCCAGTTTTCAGTGATTTCTTTACTCATACAGCCCAAATCCGGGCCACATCCGTATGCTCATTTTACATTTGGATCAGTTCCGGACCAGAGGCGTACACCTCCGGCCCAGATCTGCACCTCCTCCGGCCTGCATCCGCACTCCTGCTGGCGTGGATCCACATCTCCTCTGGCAGTTTTGGTTTTTCCTTACATGACATAATTGAGTAATTTATGCTAACACTAGACATTATTTAATTCAATTACAAACTAAATAATAATTAGTTTATTTGATTTTAAAAGTAGAAATAACTAGATGTTTAGACTAGTTTGTTTCTCTGTGTTAAATATACCATGGTCTAGGACTACCTGTTCTGTATATTTTAGTGTTTTTCTTCTCCCACACACCCACATTACTCAGGTCTTGTTAAATACATTAGCTGCATCATGTACATCAAGGAAAACACTAAAATATGCAGGGCAGGGGTACTCTAAGACCAGAGCAGGTAACCTGAAATACAAAATTATTTCACAAACAAAATGTATTTCTTAATAAATGTCTAATTGAAGAGTTGGGAAATAAAATTAAACTTTGGTGGTTTGACATGAAATGATTAATTGTAGAGAAACTTACTTGCTGAAACGTATTCTTTACAATGGTGGTGACAGGAACCAGGGGTTACCATGACTACAACTCAAATACTACAAATAACCATTTTATTTACTATCCAAAACCACCAGTGAACCTACACGTGTCCTCTGAGTTTATATGGAATGTTGGGGTAAAATAGTGGGAAACCTGATAAAATTATTTTGGGACCATATTGCCATATCCTTCTAATGTATCTAAAAAAAGTTTTAGACCTGAAATCTATTCCAGACTATGGTGAAACAGCATCTCAGGGAGTGTAATCATTTGGTGTAATGAGGGAGCTTTTAGAGGTTCAGATGTCTGGTTCCATCTACCACCACTGTGAAGAGTTCTGACTTTATAAGATTCTCCAGAATGGAGTGTTTCTGATATCCTGATAATACTGATATCCTATTCATGTGTAATATATAATAATAATAATAATTTTTAAATATGCTAAGCATTACAAAATCAAATAGAGGTAAAATTCATTTTTCATGTAATCTGTATCAACACTGAATATTTCTTTTACTTGCATGAATTAACTCTTCAATCACAGCACAAAAAGTCAGTTAAGAACAGTTACAAAACAAGTAAAACCAAGAACAATTCAAAAACTGTATTGAATATGAATACAATATTTATTGAACACTTAACATTTAGCGCCTTTTTGTGTTTTCCAAAAGTGAATTATTAACCCTCTGTGGTTTGAAGAGCTGTAGATGACCTGAAAGAAACAAAAGGAAAGAAAAAAAAAATCACGACTGAGAAACTCAATTAGTTCATAATTGTATGTAATCAGGAAGTACAGTCAGTAGCACTGAGCACATGTTTAAGCTTTCACAAAAGAGCTTCTCAAAAGCATGTACATAGTATACGTACAAGTGAATTGGTAGAAATTTCTACAAAAGACCAGAGCCAGGAGTATAAATAATGTTCTTATTTTATGATTTGACTTATATTCTTAAATTTCACTTGGTATTTTACTGATTTATTGTTTGTGTTATTGCTTCCTTCAATCCCTGTTTTTGTATATGTTTTGCTTTATTTAAAATGAGAGCCACCCTCAATGTACTTCCAAGTTTAAAGAAAGGCAGACTGATTTGATTAGTTGATAGAAAATACTACTTCAATCAATGTGAAAGTATCAAGAAGTTACAGTAAGAAATGTCTACCTGGAAAAAAGAATCACAGGCTAAACTAATAAAGACTACTGGGACAAATACATGCTTTTGTGTTGATTAGATAAAAATACAAAGTTAAGAAAACTGCAAGAAATGGACATAATACTTGTTAAATAACTGAAAATGGCAGTTCTTAATTTTGTTCAGGTAACCCTTAAGGGCTTGGACTATGTAGGAAAATCTGATTTCTGTATTACCATCCTCTCTGAGGAATAAAGAAAAAAGAAAAAAAAGTTCATATTAAGTTGGTGCTTGCAGATTCTGCGCTCCCTGCTCTCCTATTTCAAATCAGGGGCACCAGTCCTCCTGGGCAAAAAACTTAACATAAAACTCTGATGAACCTGTATATCGTTCACTATAAGTTCAAACCAGGTTGCAACACAAACCTGTATCTCTCCCGGCGTCCGCCTACGCGGTCTGATGCAAGATTGAACCATCGGATAGCATGTTTGGAAATCTCTTCTGTGGTGTTGCTGCTCACTTTGCATTTCCGTACAGCTCCTATGTGAAAACATAAGTAACTAGATATGCATTTCCTGAAGGAAATACCAGAGCTTGCAAAACAACAAAATAAAAAAAAAGTGTGAAATGAAAAAAGAAAACGATAGACAGATACAGACTGGGAGTTGTAGATAGACAGATAGGCAAATAGCTGTAGATAGATAGACAGACAGACAGATAGACAGAGTTGTAGATAGACAGAAAGACAGAGTTGTAGATAGATAGACAGATAGACCGAGAGTTGTAGATAGACAGATAGACCGAGAGTTGTAGATAGACAGATATACAGAGGGTTGTAGATAGACTATAGACAGACAGAGTTGTAGATAGACAGACAGAGTTGTAGATAGACAGACAGACAGAGTTGTAGATAGACAGACAGACAGAGATGTATATAGACAGACAGAGAGTTGTAGATAGATTGTAGACAGACAGACAGACAGAGTTGTAGATAGACAGACAGAGAGTTGTAGATAGATTATAGACAGACAGACAGATAGTTGTAGATATACACAGAGAGACAAACAGAGTTGTACACAGACACAGAGAGACAGAGTTGTAGATAGATATAGACAGACAGACAGACAGAGAGTTGTAGATATAGACAGACTCTCAATTTGGCTATTAAGCTTAGGAATTGGGACAATAAAAAGTAAAAGAAATGGAGACAAACTTCGTGTATTCAACATGCAGGAAAATGGGTAATGCAGTTTCATTTGCATACACTATACTTGCAAAAGAGAGAATAAAGAGCCTTACCTTCAATATTCAGTCATCTCCATACAAGACACAACCTGCAAAAATAAGTAATAAATCATGATTAAAAACAAATAATGATTAAGTGAATGCATGTGTGCATTACTTTTAGTGGTGTACAACTTCATTTATCACTACAGAAAGCATCCTTTTGAAATGTACATCTGTTAAATTTCCTACATATTTTTTCATATCGTACGTACTTCTTCACGTGTGTGTACCTGGCACAGAATTTACTGCTTTAACATGCTTTAGCAGTGAATAAAAATGAAAAATTCTTTCTTTGAGTAACTAAAAATAACACGTCCATTATAATTTACACTCATTCAGACAAACGTAGCAAGGGCTGTGTGACTACTAAGTTAACTTATATCTTAAATAAGTACATTTCAGCTAACGTTAGCTTGATAGCTACGTTACTGATAAGCTAACCTAGCTAGCTAGCTAGTACAGTAACTAGCAAAGTAAAGGCTAATTGTATTTGTATCTCTAGTAACGAAAAACAAAGTTATCTGGACATTAACTCGTGTTCAAGATTAGTATTCTCACATTGCCAGAAAAAAAAGCACCTTGCCTCCGTCGTAATAATGAGGCTGAAGAGTCTTGTTAGCCAGCTTGTTATGTGAATTTTCCGTTCCACCTTAAACGGTGCCGCAGGGCTACTGACTACTGCGCCTTTTAAGGTGGAACAAACCATTCGAATGAAAAACTGGCTAATAAGATGTCAATTTCACATTCATTCGGTAATTTAACTTATAAAGCTACGTTGCCCAGACATTCTTATTTAAGATTTATTTCTCGTCTTTAATAACATTAGTGTCACTGATAAACTAGCTAGCATAGCCGCTAACGTACAGCCCTCAAGCTAGCTAGCTAGCTAACGATATAAAGAAAGAGAAAAATAACACTTAAAAGTTTCCTTCTTATCAAAAATATGACTATTAATCGTGACTCTGATAGCAGTATTAGCTAATAAGACATGAGATGTGACCAACCAGTTTTAATGGCTCCATCCTGGCCAAAATCTGGTAGACCGTTGGAAACCGTTGCGAATTTTTGAACGGTCTCGCGGCGAGGCTCTGGATCAGATCCGCAGCGCATTCACACAGCGATTGGCCATCCGTAACGTTCCCGGATGTGGAGCAAGCGCGACCCTGTTCCGCAGAGTGACACAGTCGTTACCCTGACTCCGGTGCAGATGCGTAAATGCAGATAGCATAGTCTGCCGGATTTGCGGAGACGCGGGCGGATCTGGCGCGGAGTCAGCTGCTATGTGGTTCTCAGGTTTTTTATATTTTTCCCTCTTGGAAATCAGAGTCACAGCTTTACTATACAAGGTTTGTTACTACACAAATTCTAATACATACATACATACATCATCTAAACCGCTTATCCTTCTGGGTCGCGGTGGGGTGCTGGAGACTATCCCAGCTGTCATTGGGCGGAAGGCAGGATATAACCCTGGACAGATCGCCAGTCCATCGCAGGACAGACAGACAGACATACATATACAATCACACACACATTCACACCTAGATTGTCCAATTGGCCTGACTGCATGTCTCTGGACCGTGGGAGGAAACCGGAGTACCCGGAGGAAACCCACGCAGACACGGGGAGAACATGCAAACTCCACACAGAAAGAACCCCGGTCGCCCGGCCGGGAATCGAACCCAGGCCCTTCTTGCTGTGTGCCGCCCAAATTCTAATACTACTCTTGAATATGTTATGCTATTGCAAATTAAGTGGATTTGGGAAAAAATGTTTATCAACAGCAAAATATAGGCACTTATATATCTAACAACAGGCTACATTAGCAACAGGTAGCTGCTAAACCTCTTTTAATGTCCCCAGAAGGTCTTTTAAACGTACCTATGTGCTTGATCTGGACACCTGGCATCTTGCTGCATGTTCGTTCATTCTTGTGATCAGTTTCTGAGCTGCTGAGCTGAGTGTTTATAGTGTTTATGTTGGTTGAACTGCTGCTGAAACACATTTATTGTGTTTGGTGATATGACTGGTGTAGAATTGTATAGAATTGAGGTGTAGCCGCCACCCCATAGATTGTTGTTCACGGAGAGGGGGTGGGAACACATATTATGTTGCAGTGCACGCTGGGGATTGTAGTGCAGAGCAGTGCTACTCGAAAATCAAAATAATTTTGCGGGCCGAATAGGCTTGTGCTGCGGGCCTGTTTGACACAGGTTTAGAAGCTCTGCAGACCAACATGTGTAACATCTTGTGATTACATATTACCACGTGTTGTATTTAAGTGTTAACAGAGATAAAACAACCGATCTTAAATAAACCCAACATCACTTACACATCATTAAAACGCAGCAAACCCGTTCACTCAGCTGGTGAAAGAAGCCGCACTGTTGTCGATGCTGTTTTCCAGCGACACGCCCTCCTTCAGCACATCACGCCCAGAGTAATCACTCCTCCTCCGCTACTGTGCGTGTTTTGTGCCTTCAGACTTGCCGTACTGCGGCTCTCTCTCGCCCACGGTGCTGCGTTTGTTGCGGTGAAACTCAACTTTCCCCGCATCCATGAGAGGCGCGAACATGTCCGCAAAGGGAGGCGGAACGAGGGGCTTCTACTTCAACACGGTTCTCTCTCTGGCTCGTTCTCTAGCAGCTCACAGACCTGCGCCCGTCGATAAGGTAGGGATGGGAGGCTCTGCCAGCTGTTACATTAACGTCAGTCGGCTGGTTTGTGTAAGTTGACAAAGTTGAGATGTGTTGTACAGCCTCGCCGCGTCCGTGCAGTGGTAGATTTTACAGACGGACACAGAGTGAGAGAGCTGAGAGAAGGAGAGGTTTGCAGGGCTTGTGCGTGTGTGTATTTCTTCTAGAAAAAGTGTGAGAGACCCTGTTGGAGGGCAGCGGTACCAGCTCGTGCCTGCAACTCTGAACACCGGAGCCTTTTGTTTTTGTTTTTATGCAGTCGATGTTAGCCTGATGTACAAATCACACACAGCTACAGATTGGATTCAGTTTTTCTGAAGGAGTGCTTCGTTTTCTTTAACTGCCTTTTGGAAACCTCGCTTTTATCCCGAGGCACAAATAAGCTTCCGTATGAATACTGAAAAAAACCTCTAGATACTGCGCGGTATGCTAAATACTCATCCGTTTTTCTTCCTTTCCATTTCGATCAGCGTGCACAGCGTGGTTGGCTTTTTTGGTGTAGCTGGTGCCGCAGACTGTCGCTGCTGCAGGCAAATTACTACGCTGCACGTCTTCATTTGTCATTTTGTCTGGGTGTCTGGCGAAATTAAATTAACCTGACATTTCGAATATGTCGTCGACCTCTCTGTATGTTCAACGTGTCTAACATTTTAACACATCTTTACAACAGCGACCAACTCGTGGTCCCCCAACAGGTTGTTCCTGTTAAATTCCAGTGATGCCACACATGAACTCTTGTCTGACTGCATCATGGAAAATATTCCAATACAACTCCTATAGAGTTCAGACTGTTAGTGTTGGAGAGAACTTAATTTCCCTTCCTGGACAATTATTCATCTCTCTGCTGAAACAGTCCATGGTGATGCCAGATACTTTCTCAGCTGATGGTCTCTTATATCCAGAGACAGATTTAGTCATTTTGAGGCCCTAGTTAACAAACGGGAGTGGGGCCCCTTTTAAACACAAGCATTGGTTTTCCCACAGTTTTCTTTTGGGCTCCTTGCCTGTTTGTCCACACGGCTGTTGTACAGTGGGTGTTGAATATGCTTGCTGATGGAAGTCTCACTTACTAGGTCTGCCTGAATCCTCCACAAATGTTTTTACATCACCAAGTCAAACTGACTGGGTTGTTTAATGTAAACATGGTTTCATTTTTTATTTAATTTGGCCTGTGTTCCCATGTTGTCAGTTCTCAATCATGTAGGTTTGAACTAATCATCTTGCAAAGCCAGTTCGCTTTTAAATACTAAAATGTTTACAAAGGTCCTGTACGTGCTTCCAAATTCCTGTTTGTACTACTTAAGTTTTAGTCTGTTAGCAGAAGTGCTACTGATGCCAAGTAGCCTGAGCTAAAAAAAAATTGATGGAAATGGAAACAGTAGCTAAGGGAGGTGGGATCGTCATGTAACAACATGGAATGAATAGTCCATTACAGCCGTGACTTGGGGGGGCTGTAAATAATAATTATTACTGAAAATAATCATTACCATTGACAAATAACAGCCATTTAACACATATCTAATACACATATCTAATTTGCGTTTTCATGGGGTTCTTGCCTCATAGTCCTAGGCGGCTTTGTGTAATGAAAATGCCACCCCTGCCTGTATCTGTACCTCTTATATTTCTGTTATCTTGGTGTCGCATATCAATACCACCGCAGGTACAGAAGCTGCTATGTATGTGCCCATTGGACACTCGGGGTGTGTTCACTCTGGACATCAGGCGCAGGGATGCTGTCATCGCACTGGCTGTGTTCCTGGTGGAATCAGATTTACAGGTGAGGTACCTCCATTAGAACACTGTACTCTGTTTATTGTGTTTGAAACTTTTAAATAAGTAGAAGCAAATAAGTAGTACAGTGTGTATCAGTTTAGAAATACCTAATTTGTGCATGTAATGTGCAGTCACTGCATGATTAAGCAAAGATTGTTTGCTGCTGAGTAATTCTGAACAGAATTGTGTTAAAACCAGCTGATGTGCTCATAGGATTAAAGGGGGTACATGGATTAAACCATGAACTGTGTAACAACAGTGCAATGGCAGGACTGATAGAGCCCAGTCTTATGACCTGCACAAACAACTGTGATAAACGCTAATAAGATTTGGGTTGCACAACACAACAATTTCATTCTTTCCTGTCTGATTTTTCTGTTTTTCTTACCAAATCAAGAATTCAAAAATGCCAAAATCTGGGATATGCTAAAAACACATTTTCACAAGTGCTCATGTGCAGTAGAGCACAGGTTGATTAACAGGTTGAAAAAAAAAAGTCACAGGTGATTTGACCTGCATGAAATTATTTCTTTGACTGTATCTGTTATGTTCTGTAAAAGTTGAATTATCATATCTTCAAATGCGGTTTGGTTTGTATGATAACATATATAATATTTTTGTATGAATATTAGGTATGCACTGATACCACTTTTTCCCAATACTAGGAAGTAGACTGATACACTGATACAAAACTGACACTGATACCTGATTCTCACATATCTTCTAATATCAAGTACTGACACCAGTCCAAACTCAGTCTAACCTGACTACTTGATAGGTGTGTATAAATCTTGTAATAAATGCCATTTCAGTTTTAAAATATTTTATATTGGGGGAAAAGCAGTGGTCTGTGTCACACATAAAATTAACTAACCTTGAATGAATGCCGTTTACGGGTCGGCCAACTTAACATTTGAATAGTGTCAGCACTGCAAAAAAGTTGCTGTGCTTTTTGGCATGGCATCGCTTAAAAAAATTAAATGTATTGGAATCGTTGCTGGTCGTGCCACCCTTGATATACTGCCGTTACAGATTTTGAAATGAGTGAAAAGTTCCTTGTCTGTGAAATAATTCAACACCACTGACATGTTGGTTGCTTCAGTTAAGCTCTATCTACTGCTGTGCATGTGCATCAAGTATTGTTTCATGGTATTAGTGTTCTTTATTGCCAATATAATACTTATTCATATAAATTTCGGCATCATATATTTAGGTGCCACTATTGAGGCTGATACTGATACGATATTGGTGCAGCACTAATAAATATTGCACTGTGATTAAGAATGCCTTGCCATAGGAAAGTATAACTGTTTTAGCCTAACTAAATAAGTGGCATCAAAGTTAGACTGCTTCAGTTTGTAGGAGAGTAAAAATAACTTATTTACTTTGAAATGAATGTATGCATTTTTTTTGTAATGAAATTTCATGGCCAGAATGATCAGTGTTTGCTCCAAGATGCTCGCTCTCTCTGTGCCACTGTATCTCATTTGCTCTTTCTTTCTCTGTGTCTATCCACCAGCACAAAGACATGGTGGTGAGTTACCTGTTGAGTCTGCTGAAGGGGCTGCCCAGGGTGCAGTGGGTAGAGGAGGCGACTTGCAGGAAGAGCAAAGGTAACATCCACATTGGACAACTGGCTAGGAGTAAATAAAAAAAAATGTTACGTTTTGTATAATATGTTTGCTGCTTTATTAAATAAGCAGCTGTGTCTCAGGGTTCTATTCTTCAAGATCAGATTAATTGCAGATGTATGCAGGCTTTTGTTCTGTGTGCTTTTTTTGTCTTTGAGTCTATTTTGTGAAACACTACATGGCCAAAAGTGAAAGATCACATCCATGTACAGGAGGAGTGGGAATCTCTAGGCACCTGACAATTTGATTACGATTCAGAGGGCTGCGATGCGATTATAAAACGATTATTGATGCATCTTGATTCATCTTTTTTTCTATACAGGATTTCTTTTTTTTCTCACCGTGTGACAACTTGGAACTTTTAAAGCAAAGTATTTGTAATAGTCTGTAATGAATTTGCTTCCAATATCTTTTATTAATAAAACAAATGGAAGCAATGTGGCAAGTGAACTGGAAGGCTCTCATTCAAAGCTCTTGTTTGGATCACATGGGATGCAGGCTACCACTAATCTGTGATAAAATGCGCAGTTATGGTTAAATAAGATTCTGTGGAAGTGGTGTGTCCACGCAGCACGTTACAGTCATACCACCCGTTTTCTTTAGTGATTTCATAACTTCGGTTTTGGTCTTGTTGTAGAGAGTGGGGATCAATGTGTCAGTAAAATATGAGACAGGACACTGTATCTCAGCTCCAAAGTATGCAACATACTGCGAAAGCCCTGGTTCTCAAAGACTGAGTACGGACGCAAATCCTTGGCAATAAAAGTTGCGATAGAGTTTTTAATTCGCTTTGTCCTTTCCGAGTTGGGTGAAAGTTTTGACATTGCTTGATTGATGGTACTCTTGTTGGCAGCAACTACAACCGGGCAGAAAACATGTAATATGGTTTTCCCTCTCAACTGCATAGAAGCCAAAGTGCTTCCATACGCTAGCTTAAGGGTCTCCAACCTGCGGCTCCACATCAGAATTAGATTTCTAGGTAAAAATAAAATAATCCTCCTTTGAAGTAAAATAAAGCTCTGCTGATAATTCTAACACAGTTTTAACAATAAATGATCTTAAACGCTAGAATTAATGTAGCCTATAACCGCTAGTTCACCTAGCTAGTAGCTAACGAAAAGGCAAAGAGAAAGATTTAAGATGAACATGGATAATTTGGAGACGAATAGACGTTTATAATCACTCCAGCTGGTTTCCTGATATGTTTAATCTGCTACAAGAAACTGTTAAACACTACAAAAAACGTGAAGCCGAAGTCAGTTTCTCATTCTCCAGTTTGAATTTTCCCGTTCCACCTTAAATGGTACAGCAGTTACATTCTGGCGCCTCAAGCATCATTTAAGGTGGAACAGGTAAATTCGAACGAGAAGCTGGCGAATAAGAAACTGACTTCAGCCTCGTAAAAAGTAGAACATTCTTAGACATTTTACAAGAAACTGTTGTACTTTTGTGGAAAAGTTTCCAGCTGGTGATGCAAGAAAAGCGGCTGCAGCTGAGCTAAAGCTTAAAGCAGAGCAAAGTAAGTCTGCGTTTTTGTTTGTATCATATTTTTAGCCTACACTAGGACATTAGCATGTACTGAAACACATGTACAGCCAAGATGGAAAAATGAACTTGAAATGTTGTGGCTCCCAAGGTGGTTTGATTTTTGTTGAAAGGACAAAATGACTCTTATTAACATTTGGGTTACCGACCCCTGCACTAGCTTTTAATGTATTGTGCATGCTACAGACTGTCCGGGCTTTGCACTTTCACACTTTGCGTTCCGTCAACATTACGTTATCAATTAAAATTTAGAAAATCGATTTTCAGTAGGAGTTAGATCTCTGCGTGCAGGTGACGGGCAGAAGTGCATTTTATTAGCGGCCGCGTTTGAGCAGCCACATCGCGGCCACTTTTATTAGCAGACCCCATTGATCAGCCACATCGTGGCCACTTTTATTAGCGGACCCCATTGATCATTTACATCGCGGCCACATCGCAGCCACTTTTATTAACAGCTGCTAAATGTTGGTAAATGAAACTTTAACTAGACAAAAGCAAGTGTTGTGGATATTGATGCACTGTGAAAATGTAGTTTGACGATTTAATATCTTGTTTATTTGGCATACATTTTGTGTGAGTGTCTTAATGCAAAATACAATGCAAAACACAGCAGTCAGTACCATTCATTCACTTCATGTATATTTAGTTACATATTTAACCTTTATTTAAATTACATGCAATTGAAAAATATAATAACAAATACAAATAAATGCATTTTAAATATATATTTAAGAAATACGTTTTTGGCCATTTTCATATATTGCAAAAATATATTTCAGAAATGTATTTGAAATATATATATTTTCTCCTTATGGGAGACTAATCTTAATATTGCTATAACTCCCAGATAGGCTGATGGCTGATGTCTGTCTGTTTCTGTTTAACACTACTCACACTGTATGCTTATTGCAAATCAATGGGTATTTTGTATTTAAATAATAATAAAGGACAAACTTAAAATGTGTACGGAAATAATATGGAAAGCAGTTCAGTTTTATTGTAGAAATTACAAGATTAAATATTTAATTGTGTAATGAACATTTCACCTTCTAGATGCTTGCGGTCCCTGTCTTGTAAATTAAGAGTCCAAGTTTTTTGCATTTCCTTTCCTACTTTCTTTCTTCTTTTGCTGCAATTGTTTTGGTAATTCTTTGGTGAAAATTAATTACTACTTTTATTAACATTAATAAACCATGAACATTAACATTATTAAGACATAAGTAATGCTTACAAAGTATTTAACACTTTATTAAATTGTATTAAATTATGTTTGTTATTGTCAAATAAAGAACACCTCATGTTTATTCTATTTATGACTACTTTTTTTCTTGTTTAAATCTTTATCTTTATTATTTCATTTAATATTTAAAGTTTAAGAGCTATAACTCAAATTCAACATTTCTTTACGATGACTTTTTACAGGTATCGTGTATTTTTTCATGCCTTTAATTCTCTCACTTAATTCTCAGTCTCAGCCTTTTCAGAATGAGGCTTCTGACTTTGATCCCCCCACACACCAATCTACCGAACTTCTCAGGTGGCAGAGCAGTTCTGTGACCAGGACAGAACAAATGCTCCTGAAAAAGCAGAAGCACTTAAAAAAAATAATAATAATATAGTGCTGGAAAATTCACTGATGAGTCAAATGAAAGGATGGAAAAAAGAAAAAAAATCCAAAAAAATAAAAAACAATCCTCCCATCAACCGAACAACCATTACAGGATGAAGTAAATTTAAATTGTCACATCGCTAAATATTCTCTTTACAAAACCAAAATAACACGACTAACATAATTACACAGCGTTTTAGTGAAGCTAGATAAAGTCATGTGTGATGGGTTAATATTTACTTAGACATTTTTTTCCTATTTCTAAAAAAGGCTAATAAAAGTGGCCTTGATGTGGATGATCAACGGCGTCCGCTAATAAAAGTGGGACTAATTATGCTGTCTTTGTAATGAGACAGTGTTCTTTAAGTGTTGATAATAGCTCCGATATGCTCTAAAAAAGTGCATTTTGACATAATTTATCCCAATAAAATATTGTCAAATTGCCCAGCCCTAGTTCGAGACATGCAGTTCTCTAGAATATCACTCTGTTACCAGAGCATTAAGATGTCTTTTCACCATATCATAAAAAAACCCCAGGACATTGTTTTCCTCCTTGACAAAGCTTTGCAGCTGGCACTGTGCACTTGAGCAGGCAGTGTTCTGGTGTTCTCCAAACCCAGATTGGTCCGTCTGACTGCCAGATGGTGAAGCATGATTCTTCACTCCAGAGAACACAGTTACACTGCTCCAGAGTCCAATGGCGATCTGCTTTACACTACTCCATGGCTGGTTGGCCATGGAATCCTAAGCCATGAAGCTCCTGACAAACAGTTCTTGCGCTGTTGTTGCTTCCTGATGCAGTTTCAAACATTTCAATGTTCTATCTATTGAGTTTTACAAGTATATGCTTAAAATTATACAGTTTGACACTGTTAAAAATAAAGGATCTGTGCAGGTACATTTTTCGTTCATCAAAGTACAAAGTACAAAGTACAAAGTTTGTTCCCTCAAAAGTACAACAGTGGTTTTAAGGTCAAATTGTATACCTTAAATAAGTTTAGTAATAAATAAGTATTTGTATCTTTTCATAACCTAATGTTTTAAAACAGAACAATTGAATAAAAAGCCTGGAGATGAGACGAGGTGTGTGGAGTCAATACAACTTATTTTTGATTTTATTTTTGATTATGGTACCATTATGTTCCCTGAGAAAAGGCACTGAGATGTACCCTTGATGGTACCATCCCAGTGACAAGAGGGATACTGCCCCAGTGACAGTTTTGTACCATTTTTTTTCTAAAAGTGTATAAAGTAACTGCCAACTTGGATCTTGGTAGTAAGTGTTGCAACTGAGGACATGCAATTTTTATGTGCTATGCACTTCAGTACTAGATGCTTCTGTAATCTTGTGTGATCTTAAGCTATTATTGCTCCTAGACATTTCCACTTCATAACAGCACTTACAGCTGACCAGGGCAGCTGGAGTATATCGGACAGACTAGCTTGTTGGAAAGGCATTATCTATGACAATGTCATGTTGAAAGTCACTGAGCTCTTCAATATGACATTCTGCTGCCACTGTTTGTCTGTGGAGATTACACAGCTATACACTTGATGTTAAGCACACATTAGCAAAGGGTGTGGATGAAATAGCCATACCCACAAATAAGAAGGAGTGTCCACATACATTTGGCAGGGTACATGTGTAGCATGAATTCCTAGTAAAGTTGTTTAATTTCCATGCCATAATTGTAACTGATGCATGTTCACACAGAAAGTCTTCCAATGGCGGAGAACTTCAGCTTCTGCCTGGTGACTCTGCTGTCTGATGTGGCACAGAGAGACCCAGAGTCACGCACTCAGGTTAGCTACCTTGTGTGTGTGTGTGTGTGTGTGTGTGTGTGTGTGTGTGATTATGTGTGTACAACTCAAAACGTGCTCCACAAATTCTAGTTTTCTTTTTTTTTTTTTTTCCAGATTCTGGAGGCCATAATGGAAGTGATGCAGTCTCTGTTAGAGATCTGTCAGGCACCAGAAAACCATGATAAAGGTTAGCACACAGAGCATGTTGTACATGTTGTTCACTGCTGTCATAACAAAACCTCATAATCTCCGAAATGGAAACTTTATTGAAGAAAGACAAAAACATTGTTAACTTCAACCTAAGTAAATGTAACAAGATTTTGTTCCAAGTAATTGGACCATTTCTGTTAGTCCATTTGTCATGAAATGTACACACAGTGTGAAAGGCATCTGGCATGTTCTAAACTTAAACCAGAAATACATGGAGTTATGACATTTTGACATGACAGTGACATTGATGATACACAAACACTGTACAAAGAAATCTCTTTGACACATTGTTCTTTGTCTTTCTCCATCGTATGTAGTTTACCTGTGTAAGTACTTGGTGCCCTGTCTACTGGGTGTGACAAGGGCATTTGGACGCTATGGTAACATGAACGAGCCATTACTGTCCCAGCTCTTCCCCCGTGTGTCGTGCCAGCCTGCTCAGCGCGTTACCGTGGAAACGGAGGGCATCCGCAGGCGCTCCTTTAATGACTTTCGTTCCATAATGCCAAGCTCCTTGCTTTCAGTGTGCCAAGGAGACACACTAAGACGCAAGGCTGGCACTGCCAGTGCTGACACACAGGTATATATAGAACTCTGTCGAAATATTATTTGTTATGTTATATATTTGTACAGGTAAATGTCAGGTGTACAGGTATAGACACAAAGATTACAGTGTAAGGAAGAGCAGGGCACAAACTAACTCAGGGTCAAATGTAATGTAGATATTATATGTATTAAACGGTTTCAAGTGGGATATGCTTTTAGTCATGTTGTCATAGTAACAGCAGCGGTGAGTTTGGACAGCAATTGGACAGATATTTCTCAAGATTCACCCTGAAGTTGTTTTAAAAAAAAGCCACAGCATGATGTTAGAGTTTTACATTATGTTTACGTCACGTCTTCTGTGAGTTTATTGGCAGGTTTACAGCAGAACCTGCATGCAAACGTGTTGATCAGATTACTCAAAAAATTTAATTTTCTGCAGTTATCAGATTACCAAGCGCATGTAAACACACTCAATGCGAGTTAGTCAGTATCCCCCCATAGACGGAACTGTTAGGGACTGTTAAAACTAGTGCCACAGTGCAGCCGTGCCCCTCCATCTGTTAGTTAACCCCATCTATGGGGTTAGTTATGTTTGTGCTCATGCCACATTTAAGCAAAAAACTAAATGTGCTATATTGTGTTCTGCTCTCCCCTACTGAATTTGTTACTTAGATGCATTGCAGTGGCATTGAAGTACATTATAATCTCTTTCTCTCTTTCTCAAAATCTTACAACAAATGGGCATCAAATGGTGCCAAAGTTAGCTACAAATGCTACCAAAGAGCTTCTGTTTGCAAAAGAATGTGGATTAGTGATTACAGGAGAAATTCTCTTATTCATTTGCTCTACTGTGTTCATAGGTGAGCCCGGAGAGAGGTGGGCCTTCACCTTGCTCTCCCACTGCACCAGGCCCTCAGTACTTTGAAGGTAAATCAGGTTTAGTAACATTCTGAGATACCAGATATGGTCCATTAAAAACCAGGGCCTAATCCAACTCATTGCAAATGCAGACATTTCTAAATGGTTATGGCTCTAAGGGTGTTTGAATACAGATTACAGATACTCTGTGGTTGTTTTAGGTTTGCAAGTACATTTTTTATTGTTTGTCATAGTCTTGGAGCATTTTGTAAGCTGAATATCGTCGCTGTCCAAATAAAAACAACTATCTCCAAAATAGTAACTTTACAAGAGAAGGCAAAAACACTCTTACCTTTTAATGTAAGTTAATATAAAGAAATTTTATTCCAAGTGATTTTAGAACATTTCTATTGGTCCATTCATCAGGAAATTTTCACACAATGTACAGGACAGCTGTTGTGTTGAAACGATGTAGAAAAATTGACAAAAATGGAGATATATATATTTTTTTTTGGACTGCAATGATATGCTTGTATGCTTGGCTTCACTCAGCTTTTGATGTAAATTTGTTTTGGATTATGAGTCATTACTCTGTAATGTCTTGCCTTAGAGCTTTTCCAAGTGTCAAGCTTTATCATCATCACTAATGATGATCATGAATAGTAATGTCAACTGCATAAGCATCATATCACTAATGATGATTATCAGTTAAAAACTGCAACCCTGGGGATCATGGCATAGGGAGACCTGTGACAACCAAGCCCCTTGAAATCTTTATGGGTTCTTCATGTAGATTCTGACACAATTGTACACCTAAGACTTAAAGAAAAATCCAATTTCTTATAGACATATTTCACCATTTACCATCAACGACAGTACACAGACAGTTATGACCTGCAACGTGATATATTCATTATTCATAGTTTTAACACTTTACATAGGTGGTCTAACAGAAACATTTAGGTTAAAGTGAGATGCTGTGATGCTCTTGAGAGCATCAGCTTGTTTGAGACATTTTAGTGAGTAAAGAAGCAGATTTTATTGTCATATTTTAATTCATAATGTATGTGGGGGGACCAATATTTTGGGTCCATAAGATCCTAGTTTTGCCATTGGCTTATGCCATTGAATTTGTTTCGTTCAGGTTCATATCTCCCAGATGGCAGTGCAGTGGACCCTGATTACTACTTCACGACTGTCAGCTCCAGCTTCTCTCTCTCTCCTCTCTTCACTGGTGGTGGTGGACAAGAGATGAGCGTGCCTTTGGAGCTACTCAAACGCCTCTTAAACATGGTAGGCACATGTTGCACAAGCTGCATAACTGAATGAAGGTTCAGACTTTTTGTTGATTCTAGCCTCATAGCACAACATGCCTCTCTTCTCTTTGGTCAGGTTAAACTCTTTGTCTCAGATTCATTTCTGAAGACTCTGGATGCCACCATAGTGGAAGTAACTGAGGTAATCCTGTAGTACCTTACCTGTGCTATTTTGCTGACCATTGGATGTTTTATGTTTTATTTAATAGATAAATGTGTGAATTAGAAAAGTTAGCTTTTGTGAGTAAATGTGACAAATTCTATCACAGTCATTTCAGGGGAAACTGCTGGTTTTAAAAACAAACATTTGAAACGATGCATGGGGCATCTTTTAATTTCTTCCTTTTACTTGCAGAACTGCTGTAGTATAACAATAGTAATAAAAAGCAATAAAACACTTGAGATCATGTGTTGTCCTGAATAATTAATCCTTTGACTTGCATCCTCTCTTGCTCTCTGCTGCCTAGGCTAATCCAGGCATAGATCTCTTCTACAAAAGCTTCAGCGACCCTCTGTATGTCAGCATGTTTAAGATGCTCAGGGATACACTCTATTATGTGAAAGGTTTGAAATGACATCTCATAATTGCTTATACATTATTTTTACATTCATGTTATATGTTAGTTATTTACTATTATTAATATTTATTTCTGTTTGTAAATAAACAATAGCATTATGTACTGTTGGTGACAACATTTATTATTAATAATTTATTTCCCCTTTTTCTACTGCTAATCAGATGCACAGTCAGGGTTTGTAAAGGAGGTCCATGACTTTGTACTGGAGCAGTTCAGCAGCAGCCAATCGGAGCTACAGAGGGTGCTTCATGAAGCAGAGAGGTTGCCAGGGGAACCTAGTCCCTTGAAGCTACGTTGCCACGCCAACGCTGCCTGTGTGGACCTCATGGTGTGGGCCGTCAAAGATGAGCAAGGTGGGCGGGAAGGGGAGGGTCGCAGCCCTGACAGACAGAATCCATTTTTAGGGCCAGAACCTTGGCGCACTGTCACTGTGTAATTAGTGCGTTATTAAGAGGAGCTGGTAGCTGCATATGTTTTTTGGAGACAGTGACAGCGATGAATCATTTGAATTTCTTCACTCTTCCTTCTCTCCTCTCAGGAGCTGAGAATCTGTGCACAAAGCTGTCTGAGAAACTGCAATCCAAAACCTCCAGCAAAGTGATAATCGCACACATGCCTCTCCTCATCTGCTGCCTCCAGGTACTGAGGATCCAGCTGGTGTGTTAATGTGAAAAAAATCATTAACTTTCCAGTCCCAGTTCTATGGTCACAGTGAACATTTTCTGTGTTTTTCGTTATACTTTAAGCAGCTAATTAAGGGCTTGATCATTTCCTGATGATGCCAAAAAGGTTGTTTCTCAGTTTGAGCATTTTACATTTTGTCTTTGAGTGTACACTTTGTACTTCACTAGGTAGTGCAGTGGTTCCCAGAGTCAGTTCTGAGACCCTGTGGACGTATTTGTGTTTTCCCCACCCTAACACCCCTAACCTAGCATGTGAAGAATGTGTTAAATAATTAATAGGCCTGACACAATCATGCAATTTTAGCTGATGATTAATTGTCATTTAAATAATTGCAAATGTAATTGCCTTTTTGTTCATTATATGCAGCTATTAAAATACAAGCCGAAAATGTCTGTTTAGCTATAATAAGCTGTTTATACTGAAAAGTCACAACTGATGACAGACACAGCTCAAGCTTGTAAACAAACATTACTCATCACTGCCCTGTAAAGCTTTTCTAGCAGCAGAGAGAAGTTGGAACATTTGTTGTTATCATATTGTTTACCTATGATGACTCAGGCCAAATGAAGAAAATGCACTGAATTTACGTTCTGTTTGTTGCACTGTAAACATATGATTGTGAAAGTTACCTGTGGAAAATAATTACAGGCACTTTAAATAATTGCGATTGGGTAGTTTTATAATAATTGTGACAGGCCTTTTAGTTATGCAGTGATTCACAATCCTGGTCCTGGAGTTCCAATGCCCTGCACATTTTAGAGTTTCCCCCCTACGCCCAGCACTTAATGCAACTAATGAACTAATTAACAAGCTCATCCTTAGTTGGACTGCATTTGTTAGAGAAGAAAAAAGAAGAGCCATTGAGTTAATCAGTTGAATTAGAATAGAAATTGAATTGAATTGAAAAAGAAATGTGTATAGTGGGGAGTCTCTAGGGGTGGGATTGGAAATTCGTGAGGTAGTGCCTGGATTGTAGGAATCTTGTAAAATGTATTGTAAAACTTTGATGTTTTACAATAAACGGAAATAATAAGTTTGAGGCACAGTACATCATGTCTTTGAACATTTTGCAATACTTACGACAGCCTGTGACTGCTGTACAAGATTCCACACTCATTTTTTGATGGTTCTAATACATTGTCAGGGTGTTAACTGACTTGATTTGAGACACAGGGTCAAACTGTAAAGAGCACAAGGTCTTCAGAACTGGGATTGGGGACCACGGAGGTAGATTTCAGGATTTAAGGCAATGACAGAATGAACACTAAGCTATGAATGGTGAAGATAAAGGAGGAATGTAACGAGTTTTGTGTTTTTGCAGGGACTAGGTCGACTGTGTGAGCGATTCCCCGTCATAGCCCACTCTGCCACAGTGTCTCTGAAGGACTTCCTGGTGGTGCCCTCGCCTGTACTGATCAAACTCTACAAGTACCACAGTCAGTACAGCACAGGTCTGTCCTTCTTACACCTACTGTACCTTCAATTAGGGGTGGGCGATATGAACGCATCATAGCGGTATTGCAGTAACACACGTAGCTGTATATTTTTGATAGTATATTAGAAATTTATGACAACTGGTGATCTGTTCCCACCTATTGAACTTCATTAACTGTATGTAAAAAGTATCAAGATATTTAAATTATATATATGATGACATATTATGACAATGTGTGTTACGAGCCAAACTCTGTTCGAATGACCTCTCTACAGGGGGAGGAGAGATCAAGATCAGTGTGACCAATGAGCACTCCCAGTCCACTTTCAATGTTCTGTCTAATAGGAAGGACCAGCCCTCTATGTATGAGCAGCTGAGAGATATTTCCATTGACAACATCTGCAGGTTATGGTCCCTCCATCAGGCTTTCTGTTGCACCTGTTTCTATATGCTTTTATGCTCCACTATTATGTTCCATAAGTGTGTTTTTAATGCGTGTCTGTTTTCCAGATGTCTGAAGGCTGGTCTTAGCATGGATCCTGTCATAGTGGAGGCATTCCTAGCCAGTCTGTCTAATCGATTATACATCTCTCAGGAAAATGACAAGTATGTAAATAGTCATGCAGACACATTCCCGATCTGTCTCTTTGTATTTCTCAGACTGTCATGTCTGATTGATTGGTGCTTGTTCCTCAGGGATGCCCATTTAATTCCAGACCACACTATTCGAGCTCTAGGCCACATTGCTGTGGCGATGAGAGACAGTCCAAAGGTGATGGAGCCCATCCTGCAGATCCTACAGCAGAAATTCTGTCAGCCACCATCACAACTTGATGTGCTTATTATAGACCAACTGGGTTGCATGGTCATCACAGGCAATGTAAGACCAATATATGTTTTTAGCAGTTTCAACACTCAGCTAAGACTATGTTCAGATTACCAGGTTGAAGTTGCAGAAATCAGTTTTGTTTTATGTGACACAGTTCTGATGTTTTCAGAGCTTTATGGACACACGCATCTGATCTTTTCAAATAATGTCTTGGCCACTTTAAAGTGTGGTCCTAAAACGGTCAAATCAGTATTTGTGTGTTGTTTTTTTTTTTTTTTTTTTCTCACACACACTGCATGTGCCATCATTAAGATAATGTGGAAGCAGTATCTAACTTGAAGTTAGTGGCAGTAAACGGTGTAGGAGTGTTGCATCTGACCCTTTTCCACCTTTGTCTTGCTCTAATAATAAACAGATGCGAGCAGGTTAGAGCAAATTATCTGCACAATGAAGGCTTGTTCTGCTGGTCGGTTTGTTTGTTCATGACGCACGTGGTTCATACATGTGACATTATTGATTTAGGATGTGCTCATGTGGGTCATTTCAGGGCACAAGTTCGTTCACATTAATGACAGATTCGAGTCACTTACATACATGAATATGAACCATCAAATTAGAAAGGTAATATCTAAGCAAAATATCAGAATTGAGCAATGAGGCCTGTAATGTAAACATAGCCTAACTGCTTGTTTTGCATTAGTAAACATTTTGACTATTATCATGATGAATATTTTGAGTGATTAAAAAAAGAAAATTTGCATGGCAAATGCATGATTTGCATGATTAGGGTGAAAGTGAATCAGTAATAAATAAATTATTAAAGAAGGTTTTGTGCAGATAAGGGCCCTGAAAGTTCTATATTTGTTAGGCCAGTCCCTTATATTAATATGGAGGATGCTGGAGTTTTCAGAAAACTATACTGTAACTTCTGTTTTAACAGAGTTACCATTTCTTTTAGCAATATATCTACCAGGAGGTGTGGAACCTGTTTCAGCAGATCAGTGTGAAAGCCAGCAATGTGGTATACTCTGCCACCAAAGACTACAGAGACCATGGATACAGGTATGTTTGTGTGCATGCTTCAGCAACACGTAATTGAATCCTTTGAACTGACGACTAAAAACAAAACATCAAATATGTATCTACTCACAGGCACTGCTCTTTAGCAGTCATCAATGCTCTAGCGAATATCGCTGCTAACCTACAGGGGGAGCCGCTGATAGATGAGCTCCTGGTTAACCTACTGGAGCTCTTTGTCCAGCTTGGACTGGAGGGCAAGAGAGCCAGTGAGCGTGCAAGTGACAAAGGACCTGCCCTCAAGGTTTGTATGTGCATGGATATGCATTGAATTTGTGTTTTACAGTACCAGTGGGGAAAATGTTTCACTTAAATCTCTGCCAGTATACAAGCAAATTTTGATGAGATATATACAATTGCTTAGGGGTGTTTTACCCAAAGGGGTGTTTTACCCAAAACCCTTATAGGAAAGTCTGTCTACTCAGCAGACATCTTGGCAACACTGCCAGGCAGTTATTCTCAGTTATTCAAGACTTGACTCCTATCTCCTTGGCCAAATTGTAGTTTCAAAAACATTTTAAATCACTAATAAAATTCGACAAAAAATTCACAAATAGTTTGTAGTGTTTGGCTCAAATAATGCACATAAAGCATTCGGATTGTTCTGGTGCTTGTGCATCCAAATCTGAGGGGGGCTTTGCCCACTAGTGGTTTTACTAGCAAGCCAGTTGACTCTTTTTATTGAAAGATGTGACTTTCTTCATAAACAGACGCCATATTGAGTGTTATGGGCTTTCCAATACATTTTTCAGCCAGTGACCTGTTTCATCCGTTGTAGTATCTGTGGTTTTACCCCTGTTGGTAAAGCAAAATGTTAACATAAATTTGTGCAATATAACAATCATTTAACAGGTACTTGTTTTTGTTTTTTCTTTTTTTTTGCATTTGTTTACATCATTTTATACATTGTTTTATTTTTTCTTCAAAAGAATCAAAAGATTATTTTAGAGGAAAAATTGTACCAATTTTTCTTGGGCCATTATTCTTCTTAAGATAACAATTCAGTAATTTAATAATAATGAATATTAATTAGTAGTAAGGGTCAATTTTGATCACCCACACAATATTTTCATAGTAATAAAGTAATGTAATTTTAGAATACATTTCAGATGTATCAGCAAATATTTCTGCTGACTATGGCTGGTAGCATCCAAAGGAAATTTGGTTGTCTTTGGTGGTTTGGTGGATACAAAAACATTGACTGAGATGTTTAATCCCATGATTGTGATTTACTGAATTTAATCTGTGTTAATTATTCATGTAATGTTGTTTTGTGTTGTTGTCTTTCAGGCATCTAGCAGTGCAGGAAACCTTGGTGTTCTCATCCCAGTGATTGCAGTGGTAAGAGGGTTGCTGCTGTCCAATAGCTCACGCATGACACATGCGGTTATTTGATTCTCTGATGACTGACTTGTATTTGAAACTTGCTCCGCTTTCTCAAAGGTCCGATTCAATATTTGTGGTTCTGCTTGTCTAGCCAACAGTTTTAGCTGCAACTCAAGCATTAATTTTTAAGATTGGGATTTCAAGGAAGGAATCTCTTGGCTAGTGCTGGGCGATATTTCAGCTATGCTGGTGTACCAGTGCACCCAGTGCTGGGTGCTTCATATTGTTTTCAGTGAATAGTTACAACAAATAGACAAATAAAAAACTAAACACATGAAATTGACACAACAAAACACAAAATTCACACAAATAGACACAAAATTAGTCATTTTTCTTTCTGTAAATCAGGTTCTGGTCAGAATCATTTTAAAAATATTGTCATATTGAATTTTTTCAATACTGCCCAGCACTATTCTTTGCATTAATTTTCAAAATTAAGTCATGTTTGTTTTGAACACTGAAAGCATTCGGCACCCTTATATTCTTCCAGTAAAGACCTGGCACATCACCCCGATGATGCGTCATTATTGCTTGTTGTGTTCTCAAACTTCTGTTGTCTGATTTAGCACAGCTTTGGTTAGACTTTAACTTCGTTGACAAATATTGATCTGGCGTGCAAAATGTTCAGCTGTTGGGAGCTTTGGGGACGGTTCACTTTTAACTCTTTATGTTCTTCCTGAATCTTATGTGTTCTTGTGCATGATTTGACCCACAATTGTGAATGAACTCACAGAAATCTGGAGTGATTTAAATGTTTTAAAAGTTTTACATTTTACTGTGGCATACTTAATGTTACATACTTAAAGCTTCAGCTGAATCACATCTTTTCATATGATGTATTATCATGCTGCCAGCACCATAGCAATAACTAGACTTTTTGCTGAAGTCTGAATAACATTGACTTATTCCACCGCTGTACACTAATAATGCCTAGTCAGTAATAACTTTTCTGCCCAACTGTGTATACGAGAGTAAAATTAACTTTTTGATGGGTCTGCAACTCGTCCCATGAAGACCAGGCAGTCGGTGCGATGCTCGTAGATGAGAAAGAGGAAGGGCCGGTCCACTATAAAGCGTGTCTGAGTGGAAAGAGGCATGAAACCAATGTGGGTCATCGCTGCTGCCTCGGTCCCCTCTTCGTTCACTGTAATGGTTCCTTGGTGCTGAAACTGAGAGAGTGATATTGTGTTCTGTTGAGCTCAGTTTTATGCAAATTTGCAGCCAAACCACAGCTATCCGCGTATATGCATTTTTGGTACATCTAAAAAGTGCTTATATATTCACTTCTGAGTAAGAGCTAGAATCATGCTAGAATATGTACCTCCTGCTTTCTGCTGTTTACTGGATATGATCTGCCAAATGACCATTTGTAAATGTAGATATATTAAAACCTGCATTGGGATGCCTTGTCTTACCCAGTTGATGGCGACCTCCTCAGAGGTCATGGGGGAGAAATCACCCTTTTCTGTAAAGAGGTCACTCAGGCCCAACCTCTTCATGTGGCTGATCAAGTCATAGCTCTGCTCCAGCTTAAACTTTGGGAACACCACTTCACGGGTTCTACCGAAAAAACACATGGCAAACTTGTTACTTCCTTTCATCAATTCCCTGAATTGTTAATAAGGTTCTGTTGTAGGACTAACTTTTAAAAGTTTTTCACATTTGAAACAATGCCAGCTAATCCTCTTTAAATGGACTTTGTCTTAATCAGTCCCCCTGCTGGCAATTGGGTCATATTTGTTGCATGCTTTATTAGTCATTGGTTCAAGCTGTGTTGTCTTTTAGTTGTGCAGCTACATGTTGACTGGCCGATGTTATTGCCATACCTGTTGGTCATGTTGTTGAGCCACTTGTTAATGACAGTGGGTGATATCTCCTGCTCAAGGGTTCTCATGCCAGAGAGCTTTTGGGGCACAGCGATGAGCATGCTGATGTTGCCTTTGTAGGGCAGTTGTAGAACATCACAATGCAGCTCATGGTCAGCTGCTGCCAGGTAACTGCCCTTATTCTGCATCATGGGCACACGGACCTGGTGCTTCTCATTCACACGGAAGTTGCGATAGTGGGTCAGCTCCTTAGGGAACTTCTGTTCCCATGTCCCTACATGACAGAAAGAAGGATTGTGGATGTTGTGTTGTAATAAGCTTAATGGTGCCGTTAAGTTCAGGACTATGCTTCCACAGTGTATGGAGTACTGGCCTAATTTCTTAAATAAGTGTTCCAAATGCCATTCTTTGGTTTTTGACTCTCATCTGATTAAGATGTGTAAACTTTTTTGGGAACATTATTTTAAAGTAGTGCTTAAATTTAAATCCACCATTGTTTTCTAATTAGGTTAATATTGGTCTTGTGGTCACTCAGTTCACATGTGCATAGTAGGTGGTATGAATAACTTTCCACTGTCTATATGTACTTCACTGTCATTTCTCTGCGCTTTAACAATCTCACTTTCTTCATGTGTGAGCAAGCTAGCGTGCAAAAGTAAACCTAGTAAGCATAGTCTTCATGTGCTTTATTTGACCCCCTGTGATAATGGGATATCTGTATCAGTAGGATTATAATTGTGGAGACAGATTCTCTGCTTCCATCATTGTGTATTAGTTCTACTTGCCTGGCCTAGCAGGCTTGGAGTGTTGCACAGATGGATGCCAATCAAGCCTGGCCAATGGAATATTAGGACCACAGCCAGAGTTCTCAGATATCTCTTATCAGCAAATGACAGGTAACATTCATTGGTTGTGTATGGTTCATAACTGCTGTGCGTGAGGGGTTCATATTCTTACCTTTAAAGTAGAGGTAGTTTAGGAGCATCACCACCATGCTTGGGTCAACACTCTTTAGCGGCTCCTTGATGAGCCCTTTGGTGATCTTCTGAATCCGCTGGTTTGCCTTCACAAGGAATTTGGGGTCTGTAAAATCCACAGATTGAGGCTCTGCGAAGTAGTATGCCTTCGCCTCACTGCGAAAGCTGTCCTGTATGTTGACATTTTTCTTCATGTAAAGGTCGTTCACAGAGCGCAGAGTATAGCCGAAGTTTCGCCTGAAGAGCCGGTGTGTAAGTTTGCGGAAAAGCTTGTGCACAGTCGCGTTATCATAGTGGCTGCTTGCATTGACAAATTCAGCAAAGCCCAGAGCATGGTAGAGCTGCTCATGTGTTGAAGGACCTGCACCCAAGGCCATCATTCCCATGGCGATGGAGATTCCAGCCGGTGCTAGCAGGATGTTATCTGTCTGGTTCATGTGGTTGCGGACGCTTCGGTACAGGCGAAACCCAAAGTGAGAATTGACCACGTTGATGCGCTGTAGCCGCGTCCGCCCGTGGAAGAGCCGTAAGAGACGTGCCCTGCGCACTTTGGGGTCAGATGGCTCAGAGACAAGTTCAACACCTGGCGCCGGTGTGGAGATCTCATCAATGGCATCACCTTCTGTATAGTCATCATCACCTCCTGCTAGGATCTTATCGAAGTCAATGTAGTCCTCCTCCTCCAAGCCCTCCAGGGCTAGGTCATTGGTGACTGTGTTCTCCCGGTGAAAGTCCAGAGGGATAGAGTCCACGGCCAGGTGCTCGCCTCCCTGTAGAAACCCCCGTGGGTCCACAGCTTTGGCGCCATCTTTTTCTGACTCCTGAAAGCTGAAGTGCAAACTGAGGTCCTTCACCCCACCCAAAGCTGGAGTGGCTAGGAGAAAGGCTGTCACTATGAGTGACAGAACCCACATTTTTGGGAAATGCTGAAAACAAAACAGGCTTATATGTTTTCGCAATTTGCAAAAGAATAAATCCATGAGATACCAAATTCATTTTAAGTTCTAAAACTTTTTAAAGTTAAGCAACTGCGTATTACTATTAATGAACTCGTAATACCTGAAAAAGAAATAAGAAAAATCACCTGCAGGTATTTTTGAGACACTTTTTCTTATAACGGTTTCCTACTTACCAGCTCTCTCTGTCTCTGTGAAGTATCTGTGTGCGTACTCCGTTTGTTTGTGATCAGGTCCTGTTTTTGGACTTTGATGTTGGCTTGCACTGATCAAACAGTGTCTGGTTCAAAGAGTAGCCCTACTCACAGATTTATCCCAAGTGATCATGCTTTAACTCTTGCACTGCACACAAATGTTCAATTCACTCACTATTGAGGAACTGCTTATAAATGCACTGTACCATCTAACCTAAACATATTTTGACAAAAAGTTTGTAATGTGTTGTCTCAGATGGTGTGTTTGTTTTTGTGTCTGCTAAATAGTTGACCCGTCGGTTGCCCCCCATTAAAGAAGCTAAGCCTCGTTTGCAGAAGCTCTTCAGAGATTTTTGGCTTTACTCTGTGGTTATGGGCTTTGCTGTTGAAGGTTCTGGTAAGGACAAGCATTGACAACTCCTCGTTCATTATATAAGATACATTCATACTCTCCAGATATGTTCATAAAACATATGAGTTTTTGTGAATTCTTGAAACTTTATTTGTTGTGTAATCCAGGACTCTGGCCAGAGGAGTGGTATGAGGGAGTGTGTGAGATTGCCACCAAGTCTCCTCTGCTCACATTTCCCAGTGGAGAGCCATTACGCTCTGAGCTTCAGTACAACTCAGCTCTGAAGAATGACACTGTTACACAGGTCCCCTGAACATTATCTTGCCCTCAAGTAGGGGTGGGTGAAATGACAGTATGACATCATCACAATAAATGACAGCACGATTGCATCAGTACTTGAAGATCACTGAAAAAATTGTGAGGAGATTGTAAGTTTCAATTCCAACAATCGGTGGTGCTTGAGAACATAATTAGTCCTTTTTAAATAGGATGTAGTGACATACAGTAAAATACTGATTAAACAACCTCTGTTTAAAAAACATCTTGTATTGTTTTGAAAATGTTTTTAGAAACGTGGCACTACAGTTTTGCTGGCACAACAAACCCCCAAAAATTAAGTATTGATGGTGATGCATATAGATCTCTTGTATTGGCAAAAGACATGCCCATATAAGGACTTCCAGGTCTGAGCTTGTTTTACCTCTTGGGAAAAATGAATGTGATTTCCACCCTCCTTCCCCCTTTTATTGAAACAAATCTCCTGATATATTTTATTCTATGTACAGTTTCCCCTGAATGTGACTGGATACTGTATACTGTACTGTACAACACTATTATATAACGACACCAGCTACTCAAATCGCAGCCTACTTCCCCCAAAACACACCACACTTGACAAAGCTCGCTGATTTGTTCAGGTTATTTTGCAGTCTTATGATGTCATGTCAGTGCTCATGGTTATTAGCTTGCAACAGTGGTGACTTTTGAAAATGCCATGCAGTTTTCTCATAGAGAGAACCAGCTTAGACTAAGCTAAGAGCTAGCTAAGAGTTTATTTTTTGCTAGAAAATCACGATGTGTTTTTGCCATATTGCCCACCCCTACCCTCAACTTGAAGACAGACATGGGTCAATGAATCTGAAACCTTCAGGAAGCTAATGACCAGTTTTGTAAAAATTGTTTAAATTGCTCCTTTTTTGTAGGCGGAGCTAAATGATCTACGAAGCACTATCATTAACCTTTTGGATCCCGCCCCAGAGGCAGCGGCCCTCATTAACAAACTGGACTTTGCCATGTGCACTTACCTTCTGTCAGTCTACAGACTGGAATACATGAGGTACAACGCCTATGTCTGGGTCTCTGCTGTCTTTATCCCATTCTCAGTCTTCTACACATTATTTTTTATCGGTCTCAACTTTCTGCCTCCCTCAGGATGCTGCATTCAAATGATGCTGACCGGTTTCAGGTGATGTTCAGATACTTTGAAGACAAAGCCATACAAAAGGACAAATCAGGTTAGAAGAATGTGACGGCATGTTTAAGATCAGTGTGTGTTTTTGTCTCAGTCCCTATATCTACCACTCTTTCCATGTGCCTTCTCTCCTCTTTAGGAATGATGCAGTGTGTGATATGTGTTGGTGATAAAGTCTTTGAGGTATTCCTCCAGATGATGGCAGAAAAGGTGAGCTCAAAGAGGTTAACAGAGATATATTTATTGGAATGTGCTAGAGCTGGGTGACTGACAAACAGCCTGTTGTTGACCCTTGACAAGTGATAACTGTCCATATATATTATAATAACATTTACATGACACATTTGATTTTCTTTTTCTGTTATTGCACAAGGATTGTTAAAACAAATGAGTAGTAACCATGATTAGAAGCTGTGACCCAGGTCCTTACAAAGTAAATACTTATTAAAGGTATGCATGGTCTAGAATTATGGTTATGTTTCTACATATTTTTCTGTTTTCATAGCCAAAAACTAAAGAGCATGAGGAGGAGCTAGAGCGCCATGCACAGTTTTTACTGGTCAACTTTAACCACACCCACAAGAGAATCCGACGAGTAGCTGACAAGTACCTTTCTGGGCTGGCCGAAATGTATGTCTGTTCTTCATGTCCATGCTGACAGATGCATCTAAAATCTAAAATCTTTTAAATAGCGTCAGTCTTTTTCATTCTTTATTTCTTGCTTATTCAGGTTTCCTCACTTGCTGTGGAGTGGACGAGTGTTGAAGACTATGTTGGATATTTTGCAGACACTGTCTCTTTCTTTGAGCGCTGTGAGTGTTTAACTCAAGTCTCACAATATATGGAATGTATTTTTATTTTAAACATTTCTTTTGATTAGTCATCAAGAAACGGTTCTTTTGTTTTTTTTGTTGCTAGGACATCCACAAGGACCAGCCTTACTATGACATTCCTGATACTCCTCACAGAATAACGGTACCAGACACGCATGAAGCCCGGGAGGTGAGGGAAAAGTACCCCATCAACTTTGTACACTCTCAAGTAAAAAAAAAAATATATACAGGACAAGCGCAAAATGGAAAAACATTATGCTTGTAATGCTGTTAACAACAAATCATTACTCTGTAAATTAGCAAGAATAAAACAAACATATAAAGTGATTTAATACGGGAAAGCCTTCCGCTTTGATTACTTTAGATGCTGAAGTCTTGTGGGTAAACTGCAGACAGCCTTTTACAAAAAGATGAGTCAGTATTGTTCCACTCTGCATTGATGGCTTCAAACAGTTGAAAAACATTGCCAGGCTATTTTTTTTAATGTGAGACCAGATATTCTCTATAAAGTTTAAATATGAACCAGGACAAACCCGTTAGCGAAAACTATTGGTATTTTCGGCTTAGTCCTTTTATTTTTTTTTTTCTGCATGGAAGTGTATGCTGAATCAAAAAGATGCAGGCAGCTAAATATTTCAGAATTTCAAATAATTATTTTTACATAGAGCATAGTGAAGGACTTTGCGGCACGATGTGGTGAAATTCTGAAAGAAGCAATGAAGTGGGCCTCTTCTGTCACCAAGTCCCATCTACAGGTACAGAGCATGCACTTTTTTTTGAGCTAATCGTGGTCTCTCAGTCCATTTATAAGATTTGCAGCAGGTTTCCTGACATTAAACTTACTTCTTTCTTATTTGCCTTTCCTCTGTTTTTTCTTCAAGTTTTATTAATCATTTAGCATCAGTGTGAAAATCTGTCTCTTCTCTCTCTCTCTCTCTCTCTCTCTCTCTCTCTCTCAGGAGTACCTGAATAAGCATCAGAACTGGGTGTCTGGGCTTTCCCAGCACACTGGCTTGGCCATGGCCACCGAGAGCATTCTTAACTTTGCTGGTTACAACCGACAAAGCATGACTCTGGGGGTGAGGCCACACACCATACAGCATACACATGCTCCGCCTGGGTTTAAAACCTGTTAAAGCAATACTTCTGCATTGTTCAATCTATTTGACACATCTGTAGCATATAACTGTTTATCACGGCAAATTATTCCCCTTCACTTAGAAAAAGAACAGAAACACTAAAGCACCTGCCGTTTGATTTCTTTTATAAATATGATTGTCAATAGGTTTTCTGTTGGTGAGCAACTGTATGCTACAGATGCAGCACATAGAAATTAGATTGAAAAATGCTGGAGTGTTTCTCTAATTTCCTCAGAGTAATGTGATTGCTGTGCTCTTAATGGCTAGATTGCTGAGGTTATTGGCCAGATAAAGGTAAGAGCGCATCATGTGTAATGGCGATCCAATTCGTGTTGTCCAGATCAAAGTATAATCAATTTAGCATAGTGAGGTGCAAATAACAATTAGATTTTAAAGACCAAATCAGTATCGCATGTCATACAGAATCGAGACAATGATTTTAATCTGAGATTCAGTAACCTAAGATCAACTAGACTGTAGTAACTGAATTTTAACTTGGGTTTTACTTAATATTGTTCTGGCAGTCCTCTTGCAACATTGCAGTAATTCTGCTTAAGTAACGTTTTCTTTATTAATTTGTCTGCATTGCATGTTTTTGTGTAAATGTTGTCTGTTTCTTTTCACATTATTAAGCACTTTTGCATTTGAGCTGGTGCAAATATATGTATTATAACCTGTAATCATTGCGTGGCTTCATGTGTACCTTTCGAACCAGTTGGGTTCTTGTGCAGTGTTTTGTCATTGGTTCTGTTTTGTGATGTTTCACTCCATCACGCCTCTGTTTACCTGCTGAGCTGTTTACTCGTATATCTGTGTGCCTGCTGGGCTGGGTGCTTGGTGGTTGGTTTACTGGGTGCCTGTTTGGTTCTCGTCCTAAGGCTGCTTTCCCTCAGGTTGGTACTGCTGGTACTCAAATGAGCTCATGTGGTACTCATACGCTGTGTTGTGTTTGGTTTTTTTTGTTTGTTTGTTTTTTTTTTTTTTTTTTTACATATCCCATTCTCTTCTTCCCTGCAGGTCACCCAGCTGACCGACCGGCCCACCTGTGTGAAGAAAGACTACTCCAACTTCATGGCCTCCCTCAACCTGCGCAACCGCTACACTGGAGAGGTACAGGCACTCTTGAGTGTGCATAACCATCAATTAGACCAGTAAAGTCCTGCTCAGATTTTGCAAACTGAATTTGCACTACGTAAGACCAAACAGAAAGGTGAAAAATCCCAGTTCATATGTCACCTAAATCGATAGGTTACAGTAGCATCCAGTGTCTGATAGCTTTCGTTGCTCAGCGTGAATTTTAACCACATACGGACATAAAAATTGATCAACTACAGGCAACTACAGTTGTTTTTGCATGAAACATAGTCATATTATGAGTGTGTGTTATGAATGATTTTCAGCAGCCACCAAAAATGCTGTGTAGGCTTCAAATAAAACTCTTGAACATCTTTTAATGACAATAAGCTGTAAAATTCTTAGATTTATTTCAATCAAGAGATTATATCTTGTTCTCAAAGTCTTATTGCAGTCACTGTGCAGAGCAGGGAAATGCTTGCTAATGTGACTAGCCAGAATTTAACATTGCAATTTTTTTTATATTTATTTTTGACTGTTCAATTTATTGTTAAACTAATTTACCATATAACAAACCAAAGCATGTAACTGTTATTAAATTACTGCCTTGTAAAAAAGAACAGTACAAAAACAACATTTTTGAATAATACTCAACCACAAAATTACTCGAAATGCGGTAGGTTCTGTTTTCAGTATCTGTTTGCATATGACATGTTTACTTGAAAATGTTCTAGTTTCATCTACATCTATGCATGCTTTACCCTGTGTGTAACTTGTATAACCATCTGAATCAGATTATTTAAATCCACAAGGATATCTGGTAACGGGGCATTTTAATTAAAAAAATTATGTCAATAAATGCCTTTGCTTATAGTTACTGACTTCTAAAAGGGATGTAGTTGCATTTTTACTTTTGAATTCCTGCCTTTTTAACACATTTTTTGGCTGTGATTTGGTAGAAAAATTGACAAACAGCTGATTCCACAGCAGTGTCTATGAATTTGAGGTTACATAAGAATAGGTTTGGAGAATACATTCAGTATTTTGTATTGTTTTGTGTCTGTGTGTGTTTGTATTTGCTATAGACTGTGATTGTATTACGAGAAAATTTTGTCCTCACAATAGTTGTTATGTATTTAAAAAGCACCTTTAGGTCCTTTTTGCTGGACTTCACAAGTTTATATCCAGTTATTACTTTATACAAAGTGACAAAACATTTCTTTGCCCACTAAATGTTTGGAAATGTTTGCTGCTGTTGTCAGATTTAGGGTTAACACTAGGCTGGTTTCAGTGTAAGATGTCACAAGTAATACATTATTCTGATTGTGCAATGTGTGTAGGTGGCGGGTATGTTACAGTTTGCTGCAGCCACACACAGTGAATCCGACCTGGGCAGACTGATGGTCACGCAGATGAGTGAAGCTTTAGAAGCCAAAGACTCAGATGCTTTTACACAGAGCATGTTCAAAATGACCGCACTGCTCATCAGCGCTAAAGGTACTGCTACACTAAACATGAGTTTCTGCCCCTGTTTCATCCACATGGCCCGTTATATAATAATAAATGTATATTTATAAGCATATCGGTGCTGCCTTAAAAATGAGAAGCATCTCCAAAATAGTAACTGTGCCAGAGAAGGCAAAAACCTTCTTAACTTTTAATGCAAGTTAATTTAAAGAGGTTTAGTAAAGAGAAGTAATTCTAAAGCATTTCTATTGTTGAATTCATAGTTCAGTTTTCAAACACTGTTAAGGACAGCTGCTGTGTTAAAATAATGTAGAAAAATGTAAAGGACATGCATTTGGACACGTGATATTTTTTCATATTTTTGTTTTGTTTGATCTGTACAAATATACACATTACATTAGTGGCTAAGTAATTGTGTACAATTACCAGCACAAATCTAAAGAAGCAAATGTGTCTTGGTTGATTGATTATATATAAGGTATGGCGAAAATTAAGAAAGTATGGAAATTTTTTGTTGCCGAACTATTATTGTAATAACGTAAATCGAGTGCTACTGAGCTCAAGGCTGCTCTGTCTCTGTAGACTGTGATCCTCAGCTGCTGCACCACTTGTGCTGGTCTCCCCTGAAGATGTTCACTGAGCACGGCATGGAGACAGCCATTGCCTGCTGGGAGTGGTTCCTTGCTGCTCGTAATGGAGTGGAAGTCCCGGTAACACGCACATGTATCACATACATGCATGCACACACATTACTGTGTAAGGAATTCTTGCTGTGTTAAATTGTGACTAAAGCCATTTTGTATGTGTATCATTTTATTGTGCATGTGTCTAGTTTATGCGTGAGATGGCAGGAGCATGGCACATGACAGTAGAGTTAAAGATGGGCCTGTTTTCGGAGGCGGAGTTAGAGGCAGATCCTCTAGCAGCTTCTGAGGAGAGCCAGCCTATGCCCCGCCCCCCTGACGTTATTCCACATACTCTCTGGATAGAGGTGAGAGTGCATAATTTTTAGATAAAGACCTAAGTATTAGGGACAGGAGGGAAAACTTCATGGTGTTGTGATGTTTTGGGTGAATAAAAAATAAATAAATATTGAACTAGAATCATATCATAGCTTGAGTATTGGGGTCCAAGTCTGAGACCACATTTAAAATTTGGACATTTTTTTGTAACCTGAAAATAAACAACAGAAAGTTTTGGAATTTTGGAAAAAAAACAAACACAAGTTAAAAGAGAATTAAAAATGCTAAAAAAAAAATGAAGAAATACAGAAAAAGTTCTGGACTCTTTCTAGGTTCCTATTTAAGAGTAAGCAAATATTAACTCCGTTAAGGCCATTGAACAAAAAGGTCAGATTATGTCTCATTTTTCAGTCTTATCCCTTCCATTAAAGTTTGTGCCCAGATGGCTCTCAAGTAGATTCAGGCTACTTATTGTGGGCTTTTGCACAAACTTGTGGAGTCCATGAAGGCTTGAGTGCACACTGTCAAAATATTAAGAATTTTTTAAATTCATGTTAAAATTTCATACTCATACTCTTTTCACTAAAATTGCTATGCTGATAAAATCATTTGTCATGAAAAACATTGTGTAAAATTAGAAATTAACACAGAATAAAAGCATTTTCACAAGCGGTCTCAGACTTTTGGACCCATTTTTACCCCTTTTAATTAGAGTTCAACTTAATGCAGCCAGCATAGTATTGGAGTACCATTGACTCTTACTGGCTAGGATGGATGGCATAGTTTCTCTTTTTTCTTGATAAAGAGTGACGTGGTTACTAGTTGAGCACTAAATGAACAAAACTATAGTTAGGAGCACAACACATGTGAGGGGCAAGTTGCTCTACAAATGCCCTTATTAAGTATGTGCATTTGAATTCCTGAAACTGATTTTTTAAAGCAAACAACAAAGTAAATGTTTCTGTTTAGTTTCTTGTGCAGAGGTTTGAGATCGCCAAGTACTGCAGTGCAGATCAGGTGGAAATTTTCACTGGCCTCCTCCAGAGGGCACTCTCACTTAGTGTTGGTGGTGCTAAAAGCTGTTTGAACCGCCATGTTGCTGCAATAGGACCACGCTTCAGGTAACAAATACACTAAGATACAGTTATTCCAACCACTGTGTCTGTTACGGTACACTTACTCCAGATACCAGTTTTCATGGCCATATAAAGTGCTGTGCAAAATTCATTAGGAAAATTGTTTAAAACTATTAGCCTGTCAGTAAGTGTTTTTGCCAATAAAACACTATGTAACATTAGAATAAATACAAATAAACAAAAATACAAAAAAGTAAGATTTTTCTCTTTTAAAAAAGTTATTAATATCTTGATTAGAAAAATACAGTTAGAAGAATATATGTTTCCTGACTTTACATGTATTTATATAAATTCCATCAGCAGCACACCTGATTTAATTTAATGATTGATTGATTAACTGAGGCTGGTATTAGATGAGAAATGTGTAAATACTGTGCCTACTGAAGGAGAGCTTTGGAATGGTGAAGCTGCCGCTCTCAAATAAAATCACAATGTAATGTTTGTTTGTATTTATGTATAATGTTTATTATAAATGCAACAGAATTATACACTGTGTGATATGACTCTAAGATAAATTGTGCTTGCTTTAGACTCCTGACCTTAGGTCTGACCCTTCTACATGCTGATGTTGTGACCAATGCTACTATACGCAATGTCCTCAGAGAAAAGATCTACTCTACAGCCTTTGATTACTTCAGGTACACACACATGTACACCACACAGACATTTATGCACTGACAGACATCACAAACTTTATTCTGGAAAAAGCTGGTTTAACAGGTGTATGTGTGTTTATGTCAGTGTTGCTCCAAGGTTCCCTACTCAGCAAGAGAAGCGTCTGCGTGAGGACATCAGCATCATGATCAAGTTCTATGCTTGTCTTCTGTCTGATAAGAAATACCTCACAGCCAACCAGCTGGTCCCACCAGGTGCTCAATTAAAAAGATAAATTGATTAAAGAGGTTAAATAGGTTTAGAAAACATGTAAAGTTCTACAAGCACAAATCTGTGTATTTCAACCTTAAATCAGTGTAGTAGCAGTGTAGTATGCAATGAAGGTTCTTTGTTCACACAAGCCATTTAATGTGTACTAAAAGCTTGAAGTAACTGACAGCTGACCGCTGAAGTCCATTTTGATGCTTCTTCCATTTCTACTGATTGTCCTTCTGCTGCCTTATTAAAATGGTATAAGAATCAAAATCACTTTATTTTACCAAGTGTGTTACACATACAAGGACTGTCTTATTGAGTGCACACATGTAAGACATGTAATGTAAATGGACCGGACAAGTATGCAGACTATTTACAAATATCCAAGGAAAATAAGATATTAACTAATGGAAAACAAGACAAGAGAGCATATATATATATATATAATATATATATATATGTTTTTTTCATTAAAAACCTGTGAATATGCTGCTTCTCAAGAAATTTGGAATAATAGTACTACATTTTATTCATTTGATTTTGTATCTGATACATTTGATCCACTTTAAACTGTTACGAATGATTTCATTATCAAAAATCAAAAGATTGTTATGACAGTCTTGATATTTGAGATAATGATAATTATTCTGGGTGTTGCAGACCCTCAGGATGTGTCTGTAAACAGTCTGTCAGTGATGGCAGTGGCAGATTCCAGAAGCAGCCTGGATGCTGCAGTGGGCTCCAGACAACAAGCCACGCAAGGCTGGATCAACACTTACCCTCTCTCAAGCGGCATGTCCACTTTATCCAAGAAGTCAGGTACACGTATGCAAACAAATGATGAAAGCACTCACAAGCATTACTGCTCTAAAAGCCAAGCAGTAACTGTGTGAATAGTGAAACTGAGGTTGTAGAATGGATTTTGTAGATATGGAACAAATCACACTTTCCTAAATATGTAACATAATTTAACCAACAGCTTTTGTCACAAGCTAAAGCTAAACTTTAGGCACCTGATTGTGATTTGATTCAAACTGCAGTTATGTTTTTTCTTAGTATATTGCAAATTTAAAATTTAAAATGTATTATTGTAGTATATGGTATGTATATTCTCAGGCAAATAATACTATCTTTGTGCCTCTTCAAGGTCTATCCAAGAAGAGCAACAGAGGGTCTCAGCTACACAAATACTACATGAAGCGCAGGACACTGTTACTGGCCTTACTGGTGTGTCAAATTTCTATAGATCACATAAATAATTAATTTACCTTTTGTTTTACATTTGTTTTTATGCTGTGCTTATTATCAATTTTTTTTATATGAATTTTGAATTAAACTAAGCTTTTTATACACACAAAGTGTGTCAAGAAAAGGATTAATTTATTAGCAAGCTAAATTTGAGTTTACCTCAAGCTTAACAGTGTCACAGCAGCAGCTCATTCCACACAGTCACTCGATTTCCTCACAGCTGGCCTGTTCTGAGGCAGCTTATGTTGCAGTTTAGCTCAAGTGAGATGACTGTTTTTCACATTTGGGAGACTTGCTTTTGTTAACAACCATAGATGGAAAGAGAAGCCTAAACACATTCTGAAGTAACAGTACTGTCATTTCTGGGAAATACTTACTCAAGTAAAAATACCTTTCCAAAAACCCCTTGAGAAGAAGTACAATGTATCAGGTTAAAAAAACTACAGTACCGAGTAACTTACAACCCTGTTTCCAAAGTTCCATTAATTTATTGAAAAATTAATGTATTAACATTACATTTCAAAAAGTTTGGGATGGGGGCATGTTTACCACTGTGTTGCGTTACCTCTTTGTTTTTTTTTTTTTACAGCACTCTGTAAGCGTGTGAGACCAACTGCTGTAGTTATAAAGCTGAAGTGTTTTTCTGTTCTTGCTTGATATAGGATTTCAGATGCTCAGCATTTCGGGATCTCCTTTGTTGTATTTTTGGTTTCATAATGGGCCAGATGATTTCAGTGTGTGATGGGTGTGACTTCAGGCAGGCCTGTTTAGCCCCCAGACTCTTTCAGTACAGATTGATGCGGTTGTAATACGTGCAGAATGTGGTTTGAAATTGTCTTGCTGAAATAAACAAGGCCTTTCCTGAAAAGGACCTTGTCTGGATGGCAGCATATCTTGCCAAAACCTAAATATATTATTCAGCATTACTGGTGCCTTCACAGATGTGCAGTCACCCATGCCATGTTCACTAATGCATACCTACACCATCATGGATCCTGGCTTTTGAACTGTGCACTGATAACAAGCCAGGTGGTCTTTAGCCTGGAGGACGCAGTGTCCATGATTTCCAAAAAGAATTTCAAATTTTGATTTAACTGACCACAAGACACTTTTCCACTTCACCTCTGTACATCTTGAATAAGCTCAGGCCCAGAGAAGGTGGTGGCGTTTCTGGATCCTGTTTAGATATGGTTTCTTCTTTGCATGGTAGAGTTTTAACTTGCATTTGTGGATGCATCGATGAGCTGTGTTCACAGACAGTGATTTTCAGATGTGTTCCAGAGTAATTTATAGAATTGTGTCTGTTTTTACTGTAGTGCTGTCTGAGGGCTTGAAGATCAGAGCCAGCCAATACTCATACAGAAAGCCTTGTACTTTGCATACAGAGATTTTGCTGGATTCTCAGAATCTTTTAATGATATGTACTGTAGATGATAAAATCCCCAAGTTGTTTGCCAGCAATTCAAGAATAACATTGAGAAACATTATTCTTGAATTGCTGGCACTATCTGCCTGCACAGTCTTTCACAGAGTTGTGAACCTCTCTCCATCTTCTGACTTGGGATGCTCTTTTTATATCCAAACGCATTACACAACTTTACCAGTCTTTTGTTGCCCTGTCCAAACTTTTTAAAAATGTATTGCTGACATCAAATACAAAATGGGCATATATTTTTCAAAATACAATAAAATTACTCAGTTTCAACATTAGATATGTTGTTATTGTACTATTTTCAAATAAATATATAGGGTTTAAATGATTTGCACATCATTGCATTCTATTTTTAGCACATACATTTTGTACAGCATCACGTTTTTTTTGGAAACGGGGTTGTAAAGAACTGCAGTGGAACATCTCCTAAAATAAAATGATAAACCTCAAAAATCAGTGTGGGCAGTATATGTTCTGTCATCATTGTGACATAATGAAATTAAACACAAAGAAGGAGTTATTAACTAAAAGTTAATGACTAAAATGTAACTGAGTAAAAAGTAATTACTGTCTTCACAAAGGTAAGGTAGAAATAATAGTGTTATGATTGCAAATACTTACTACCCACCTCTGTTAACAGCACTTAATTATGCATGAGAAAAAAACACCTTTTTTTGCAGTATGTTATGGTCATCCATCTTTCATTCAGAAAGTTAATTTTCAAGTAGCAACAAGTCATGGAGGTGTGTTACTTATCTCACTGAGCTGAATTGAGTATAATGATGTATCATTGAGGATGATTATAGTCAGCAGTTTTTTTTAAGTTTCTTTATTAAAAAAAAAGAATAACATAACAGGAATTTAAGCCAGGCCCTGTGGCACTCTTAAATAGTTAGAACAATCTGGTTCATAGTAATTAGATAGCATAGCGAATAATGTTACAGTATTGTATGCTGGAGATGAGAGATCAATCCCTGCTTGCACAGTAGTGCTGATATTATAGGCTACTTTGGGATAAGTTCCACATTTTGTCTACACCAAAAAATAATCACACTGTGTCTCTGGAAGCATGTGTCTGCAATATGCTGTAAATTAAGTTGAATTCATGGTCGTGCTACCTTTTTGTCTTTTGATCCCCTGCACTCCAAATTGTCTGCACGGGCCTGACGCCTACTTCTTAGACAGCAGAATTGAAGGCCTGAACCTCGTTTCCACATAGATTTAGTTCCCATTGTTCTCCCTGTATCCATGAGGGTTTCCTCTGGGTGCTCTTGGTACATTTGATTTCAGCTGTGGGTGGAATTAGCATGGGCAGATTAGTGAACATGTGAATTGTGTGTGTGTGTAATCCCTGAAAATGTTCACTGTCTGCATATTTGAATGGTTAGTTCAGTATGTCTTTTTCTATAGGCCAGTGAGGTGGAACGGCTGACCACGTGGTATAACCCACTGGGCACACAGGAGCTGCAGATATCAGCTGAGCAGTCAGTGGAGACGAGCATCATCAACTGGAGGTCCAAGTACATCAGCCTGACTGAAAAACAGTGGAAAGACAATGTCAATCTTGCCTGGAGCATAGCGCCTTACCTTGCCCTTCAACTGCCTGGCAGGTAATGTGTCAGTTCCTGCTTAAATAGACTCAGAAGCACACACAGGCATCCACAGAAAATTTGACATGAAAGGATGTACTTGGAAAATTTGTATTATGGATTTTCCTATAATAGTGATAGGTAGCAGATCAAGACACAGGCTAACAGAGTAATCCTATGCAAATCCATAATCGGAAACCAAGATAAGACACACAGCAAAAACAGCTATAAACAGTAATCTAGGAAAGCAGGAACAGGAAAACAGGGACGTGGACAACAAACAGTTTTGAGAGGGATGGTGGGGGAGGACAGAGACAGAAGGTTCTAGAAATTCCCCACTTCATATCTCCTCATATTAAAATACATTCTTGAATGCCTGCTGCTTCAGTGAGTTTATCTGTTTGTTCTATAAATTGTGCTGGTCATAACTTCACCTCTCATTTAAAAATATTTAGATTTTGATCATCTTTTTTGTAGTATGATAATGTGTCATTCTCAACCAACATCTGATGCAGTTATTTTAAGTAATTCCAAGTAAGTCCAAGACAGGACAAAATTGTCTTGGCTTACTTCGGCAGATTCAGTAGTGTGATTAACTATTTTAAGGCATTCTTGATAATAAAACAGTCACTTTAAAGCTCTGGGATTTTGGCATCAGTGGCATCAGAGATTTTGGAATAATTCTACAATTTTATGTCCTACAAAATTGTAAAAATTATTCATAATCACTGTGTAGTAAAGGCAAAGGGAAAGGCAGCTCTACCAAACAGTGGGTCCAGATCTTAATGAATTGGAGCAGACACAAACACCAACAAGTCGAGGCGATATCAACGAAACAGGAATTCACAGGATGAGATGACCATAATATCACATTTCTCAAAATTGGTCTTTCAGTGTCAGAAACGTCTCTTTTCTTTCACAGTATTTAAAACCCCCAGCGCATGGCAAACCTATGCTGCAACAGTTTTGCTGTTATCCACATATTGCTTGACCTGACTGAAAGATGACTGACAGATCTCTAACCTGTTAGTTAGTCTTTTGGAAGTTTCCAGAAGTGCTGTAAGAACTTAAGCAGTAACCCGTATAGCATAATTGTGCAGAATGTCTGATGTGCTGTTCAGTGTTGTATTGCATTGTGAAGTTGCTGCAGATATTAAGCCCTCCTTAGGACCATATGTAGTCCAGGGAGGTCCACCGTGGGCCATTCAGGTTTGTTATAATGAACATAAAACAGCTGTTATCCATGTCAACTGAAATGCAAATACAAATACTTCTGATTTGTCCAAGGTTCAAGAACTCAGAGGCTATTGTGTCAGAAGTCACACGACTGGTGCGCATGAACCCAGGGGCAGTCAGTGACGTTCCAGAAGCTGTAAAGGTAATGCATTCGGTACCAAGTCTTGTTATTATGACTCTTTTATGAGACACTGCATGCATAAAACAGTGGTCAGTCATTCTGAGTTAAATCACAAAAACTCAGCACAGATCATGGAGCAGCTACCCTTGAAAAATACAACATAATGTTACAGACATATTTGAGCATTTTCCTTTTTTTTTTCTTTTCTTTCCTTTTTTTTATTTTCATTTATTTATTTTTTTTATTAAGACACTATATGGCCACCACATTGCAAGCGTAATGAGCTTTTTTGACTTTCCATTCCAGAACCAGGGGCATTGAGTTGGATTTGCCCCCTTTTGCGGCCATAGCAGCCTCCAGTCTTCTGGAATGGCTTTCCGCAGCATTTTGGAGTGTATCTGTGGGAATTTGTGTCCATTCAGTCAAACGACTGTTTGTGAGGTCTGACACTGAAGTTGAAGGAGAAGGCCTGGCTTGCAATTGATATTCCTATTAATACCAGCTGTGTTTAGTGGGTTTGAGGTCAGTGCTCTGTGGAGACTACTGGAGTTTCTCCACACCAAACTCCTTTTAATGGGTCTCGCTTTGTGCACAGGGGCACACTTTTATACTGGAACAGGAAAAGGCCTTCCCCAAACTGTTGTCACAAAATTGGAAGCATATAATTGTCGAAAGTGTCTTTGTATGCTGTAGCATTAACCTTACCCCTCACAGGAAGCAAGTGGCTTCATGAAGCTCCCAACATTCAGTTCTTTTGCTGATGTTGCTCCCTGAGGCAGTTTTGTACTCAGTAGTGAGTGATGCCTTAGAGGATTGGTGCTGTGCTCTTCAGTGTTTGTGTGGTCTACCGCTTCGTGGTTGACACTTGAATATATATATATATATATATATATATATATATATATGTGCATTAAATTGAGCTGGTTTTGACTGTTGCTATTAATATTGTTGGTCCATAATTCATCTTAAGTAAATTATTGTTTACATTTTGCCTATGCAGTTTGAAATGTGCTAATTGGCCTGCTATAAATCAACATGGGAGAGGAACTAAGTCATCTTTCTATCCAGAGTGTGCAGCCATTTATGTCTCTCTAGATTTACTGGCCACAGCTGATTGCTGCATTGTTAGACTATATATATCAGTGACAAGGGAATATCCTTTTATTCGTAATTTACCTATTGAATACATTAGATACTTTTAGAGACTATGGCAAAGACATTCAAGCTCTTTAAAATCTAACCTAGAATTATTTAGGACTTGTCTTTAGGGCATGCTGGCAGTAGTAAAATGTATCAACATGTAATTGTAATTGGAGTTGGCTCTGATAGTAAGCATGTGCACTCATTCAAAATGAAATTCAGGGTTTCATTTCCATAATTTCATTTTGTTACATGGTCTTCTTCACATATCTCAACTCTAAAGACTTAACCAGCTACTCAACTAGAGATCACATATTTTAAGGTATGCTTGTTCTCTTGCAGTTTCTGGTGACATGGCACACCATTGATGCAGACTCTCCAGAGCTTAGCCACATCCTTTGCTGGGCTCCGGCAGATCCGCCCACTGGCCTGTCGTACTTCTCCAGCATGTACCCTCCTCACCCTCTCACAGCTCAGTATGCTGTACGAGTCCTGCGTTCCTTCCCTCCGGTATAAAACTCCACTTTACTCACGCGTTCATACCTTACTCTCATTCTGTCTGGAATGTTTGGATTTTTTGGTGTTTCTCTGCTGTTCTGGACTTTTCTAAATGATAGCAATAGCTCACAAACTTTCGTTGCTGTTTTAACAGAGAATTTTTTCTCACTCTTTTAACAGGATGCCATTTTGTTTTATATCCCGCAAATTGTTCAGGCGCTCCGCTATGACAAGGTTGGATGTGCATGCATGCATGAATAATTTCAAATGATTAAACATTTATTTAAAATTTGTTTTCTTACATTTTAATTTAACTAGAGCTTGGAAATTGCTTATGTGTATTTTGTGTGTTTTTTTTTCTTCCATCTATAGATGGGTTATGTCCGAGAGTATATACTTTGGGCAGCACAGAAGTCACAGCTTCTGGCTCATCAGTTCATTTGGAACATGAAGACCAATATCTATACAGATGAAGAGGGACACCAGAAAGATCGTAAAGAATCCTATTGTTTTTTTATTATTATTTTTATTTATTAATTTAAAGTGGAGTGAATGCCTGTCTGTTTTACTCGTGTCTGCTTTCTCTCTAGCTGATATTGGAGAGCTACTGGAGCAGCTGGTTGAGGAGATCACAGGCTCTTTGTCTGGTCCTGCCAAAGATTTCTACCAGCGTGAATTTGAATTCTTCAACAAGATCACCAACGTGTCAGCTATTATAAAGTGCGAGCTTAATCCTCTATTAATGTTTATGCTGTGCCTCAACCACCCACCCACCCGCCAATCTGTAGAATATGACCATGAATCACCCTGCTAGACTGTGGCCTACCCTACCAAATCATGTAAACTTGAGGGAATTCATATCGCAAAAAATTACAAACCATCCATTTAAAAGAGAAAATAAATGGTGCCACTAGGATCTTACAGAGCGAAAATGTATAAGATAAGCCAGTGACCAAAGTTAAAATCTCTGTCAGTCTGTTGACTGTTAGACATAGACATAGTATTAAATAAGAAGTTCAATAGCTCTTGTAAGTCAGAAGGAAAAACTTTTTAGCTAAGGTCTGACTGAACAGATTGGTTTTATATTTGGTGTAAAGATTGTTCCATAGCTCATTGTTCTGTTTGCTAATTAATAGCCTGCACCTTGTGTGGGGCAAGAGCGTTTAGATATTTATAGTTCTGCAGTGGCAGAGGTGAGTAGAGTACCCTAAACACATACTCAAATAGAAGTATTGTTACTCCTGTGAAATGAATTAAGTACAAATACCTGTGTACAGGTATAACCACTTAAGTACTGAATAACATAGCTATTGCTGCGCCTGAACTTCTTAGTATACATGCAGCATCTATCAGCATACAAACTTAAGTTTGTTAGGTGCCGTTGTTCTCTTTTTGGGATTCCTTTGATCTTAAACAAAATGATAATTTCAGCCATTGTGAACGGAAAAGTATCTAGTGCAGCTGCATACTTTAAACCTCTGTATATCAGACCAGGGTGTGGTTATCCAAATGTAACAGAAAAAATCCAATCCATCAGACTCCCAGGACTAGATGTCTATGCCTTAATGTAGTAGTTGCCATAATGGTTATTGAATAATAAGCCTAACTAAATACCAAGACAAGAGTTAAGAGGCTGTGGGAACCAGACCAGGAACATGACTTATTACAATCCCAGTCAGGAATTGGAGCAACTCATGGGGTTTTTACCACTGCAACAAGAAAGGTTTTTGAACTATGGCCCATCCCTGATATGTTCATTTGTCAACACATCCTGAGGAAGCTATAGTTCTGTTTCAGCAATTCCTGATCAGATATTAACCCTTTGGTCACATAATACAATCTATGAGCATATCACACTTTTGTCTGAATTTTTAGGTGTCCACTGCTTTGCAATGGTTACAGTGCTTGTACAGTACAGTTTGAACACCCCTGGCCTATTTATTTATTTATTTATTTATTTTGTTTTCTAAGTAAGAATAAGTTAACATATCCTGTACACAGAACTTAAGTATGGCTTTTTTTATTTTTGGGCATAATTTCTATTTATGTGTTTAACATATGGGAATAAAATTAAAACACCAAAATAAAATGTGCGTAACTTTTGCACAGGCCATATTTTATGTTTTCTTTTTTTCCCAATATGCTAAATTCAGCAAATAAACAGTAATTGTACATTAAAATGTGCGCAAGTGTTTGTTTTCCTGTCAAGGATATGTTAACCTATTGTAACTTGACTAGGGGTGCCCACACTTTTGCGTACAACTGTATTAGTAGGATGCCCGGCTGTATTAGTAGGATGCCCCTCATTTGGCTGCTAAAGCACATTTTTCCCAACAAATGCTCTTCTTTTGTTATAATCACAAACTCGGGAGCTTCTGTGCTCATGTGTTTTCTGGATTTCTGAGATTACTTAAGGAAAGAGTTATTGCTTTGTATATGTTTTGTTCAAGTGTGTTTGTCCTCCCATAAACACAAACTTTCATCTTTTCAGACCCATTCCTAAAGGCGAAGAGAGGAGCAGGGCCTGTCTCAGAGCGCTGTCTGAAATCAAAGTCCAACCAGGTAAAAATACTTTTCTTCTGTCACCACAGTCTCCATCTTACCCGCATTTTTACTCTTCATTATTCATTATAACAGAATGAGTGTTACATTAATGAACACTGCAGTGCTTTTTGAATTTTAAGTGGCACTATGTAAGATTTTTTGTTTTGCTCAAATTGAAAGAAGCACCTGTCCTGCATCATTTTAAAAAAAACATGCTAAAATATGGTGTGTGTGTGCTGCTGCGAGTCTCCTTGTGAAGACTGAAATGATGAATTAAAAGTCATGGGTGTCAGGTCCGATTTCACTAAGTTTTTCAAACCACGTCCTACATCTTTATGTATTAATGTCACATGCACAGGCTCAAAAAGAAGATCTGGCTCAGTGTTTAGGTCTCAAATGCATGAGTTCTCTTTTGACTCTCTCTCACTGTGTTCACAAAAATCAGATTAATTTGCTTGGGGGCATCTGAAGCACTGACAATGTTACAAAATGTTCCTCTGCATGTTGCATGCAATTACACATTACCACCAGAGAGGTCTCTAGATCTAGATCTCTAGAGCTTTAACCTATATAACCATTGCTCCACAGGATGTTATCTGCCCAGTAACCCAGAGGCCATAGTCCTGGACATTGACTACATGTCTGGAACACCAATGCAAAGGTACGTAACATTTAGTACTGGCAAATTATCATAGGTTCATTATAGTTATCAAAATATCCAAACACATCCAACAGTATATGACACACAACTCTAAACCCAACTACTTTATATGGAGAGTTCAGCAGCAGCAGTCCTGTGTTCAGAAACTGACCATTGATGAATGGAGTATAGGATGGCTGACACTCCCAAGCTAACAAGCTAACACTGCTGTTTACCACAGGACACAATAGCAGCGATTTTGTCATTCATTTTTCCCCATAGAGAAAACAAACAGTGACACTAAATGATAATGTGACTTCAGAGATCTGTTGCACACCTGTACAGCATATGTTAAGTGTTTCAAATAAAGTGGATAGCGTATGTGATGTTTATACACCTTTCATACCTGGGAGACACTAACTGAAATGTGTGGCTGTAAATGTGTGCTTGTGTGGATCCTGGCAGTGCTGCAAAAGCACCATACTTGGCCAAGTTCAAGGTGAAGCGCTGTGGAGTCAGTGAGCTGGAGAAAGAAGGTAAAGACCCCTGCCCTTAACGTATTTTGTTTAACTTGTATTACAAAACCTATTAATTAATATAACTGTGAAAATAAGTGCTGAAAAATAACCTATATGTGTGCATTATAGGTCTGCTCTGTCGGTCAGACTCGCTGGAGGAGGCTCGCAGTGAGGAGGAGGCCCAGAAGATTTGCTGGCAGGCGGCCATCTTTAAAGTAGGAGACGACTGCCGACAGGTATTCCTTTTCATAGCTCCCTTTATTCCTTTTTCTCAAACCTTCTGTGTTTTGAACATATCTCACACTCTCTCTCTCTCTCTCTCCCTCCCTCTCCCTCTCTCCCTCTAGGATATGTTGGCTTTGCAGATCATTGGTCTCTTTAAGAATATCTTTCAGCTGGTCGGACTGGATTTGTTCGTCTTTCCTTACAGAGTGGTTGCTACAGCTCCTGGAGTGAGTTTTTCTAGCCCTGTCATATTTAGTGATTTCACCTGCATCCTTTCTTACTTAAGAACTTCATTTACTTTTACAGCATACAACAGCTGTTACCATTGTGCTCCGTCTTGTGGCAGAATGCTGCTACTGATTTTTCTTTTTGCTTTGCATATTGTGCTGCAGTGTGGTGTCATTGAGTGTATCCCAGACTGTAAGTCCAGGGATCAGCTGGGACGACAGACAGACTTTGGCATGTACGACTACTTCAGGAACAAATATGGCGATGAGTCTACACTGGCTTTCCAGAAGGTTATAGCAGTTCCATTCTCCATTCCTTATGATTGGTGTTGCAGATTTATTTGTCTTTGTTTATGATGCAACTATTAATTACAGTTTTCTTTGCATGTGTTTGTGTGTGTGTGTGTGTGTGTGTGTGTGTGTGTGTGTGTATGTGTGCAACAGGCCAGGTATAACTTCATCCGGAGCATGGCGGCATACAGCCTATTACTTTTCCTGCTCCAGATTAAGGACCGACACAATGGCAACATCATGCTGGACAGCCAGGGACATATCATTCACATCGGTCAGTTTTGAACTCCCCCCCCACCTCCTTAACGCATTTGTAGTTAATCCACCAAGAGATGTTTGTAGTTTGAACACTGCTTCTTTAGGCAGGCTTTATACAATGAAACTTACATGAAGCTAAATTTCACCTGAGTTGCATAATATAAAGTGTCCTGCAAACTCAACCGCAACAGTTGCAACCGTTTCAACTTTGTGTACTAAGTTTGATGAAACAGCCAATCAAGACACCAGTAATGCATCAGGTGATTATGCCGAATGGCATAATTTCAAACAGAATTTAACCGTTGGTGTCATTGGATCAGTGGACAAGACTAGCCTTGTTTAACTAGCCATTTAGCAATAACAGCTGTTTAGATGGCTGCTTGTACTACTGTTTATTCTTATGCGTTAGTCTGCCGTTATCATGATCTACGTAGCTAAATTATTCATTTTCTCCTCTGTTGATACCACCTATAATATTACACAGATTCCTTGGAGAATCAGTTATTACAAGATAATTTAGCACAAACAGATTTAACTAATTAGAACTGTTATATAGTAAAGAACCACAGAGAGACAGATACATAAAAGAAAGATATATAGAGAAAAGTATATAAAGAGGAAGAAAATGTTGCAAATATGCAACTGCAAATAACGTCACATATGGCATTATGTAGCGAAAAACATTATAGTGTATTAAAAAAATCTGAGCAGCTAATTTGGCTAACTAGTAATCGAATGTGTTGCATGGAAATGTGACTGTTTTGGAATTTCTTTGCATGCAGCTCACATGAAAGTAGCTGCATGAAAGTTTCCCACTGTAAAGCCAGCCTTTGATTAAAAATGTTTGCACTGGAGCTACAAGGCTAATGTAGCCAACACGTAATGATTACTTAACAGCTCCACTAGGTTTGAGGTACATGTGTGGTAATTTAGGCCTGCAGTTGCACGATGTTCACTTACTTCTATAATAGGGCTGCAACAAACAACTGATTTGATAGTCGAATAATCTATTGATTACTGAAACGAATAATCGATTATTCGGATTATGAATCACTACATTACCAAGTATCTTTTATGTAGCTATTAGTTTTTAAATTTAGCTTAAGGTTGTTTTATGCATTTCCTTGAATAACATTCAATTCACTGCTAATACAAAAGATAAGAAAATAAAACTCCAATATATTTTTCTTGTCAAAATTTATAACCAACCATTTGCAAAGTAGCAAAATATAATGAAACTGAATCAGTTTTCCTTTAATCAAGTAAATAAAAAAAAAATCAATCTAAATTTAAATGATAATTTTAAACTGCAGTCTGTGCTTTGTGCATTCTGCTGTCTGTCTACACTCTGTTGCAACTAAATTTTACAATCACAGGTCTTTATTGAAGCAGAGGAAAGTCAGTATCTCTGCGTGCTCTCGTAAAAGGCCTGAACAGTTAAATTTGAACAATTTTGTGTAAACACTTAATTTCATTGGTAACCCTTTGACCAGCTGCCCTGTATGTTCACAGAGAACTATCTCCTTGAACTGTTGGCGAGTGGAGCTAAACGTTCGCGGAAAACAGAAACCTGTTTGGAAACACTCTCCTGTGTTGACCGCACTAGTGGCCTTGACGTTAAAATGACGATGCAGCATTTAAAACTGTAAACGTTATCTGGAAAGTGAACAGGGTCTCTGTGAATAATAGTTACTTGCTTCTCTGTCTCAACTCCATTACCGAAATACAAATGTTACAGCTCACAACATGAAGTAGGACGGAATTTAACATTAACATTAGTGTTAGCTAACTAGCTCACTAACACAACGATTTCCGCGTTCCAAACCACACACTTCTGTTCTTCACACACTACACTAATGAGTGCACTTCTGATGGTATGTGCGCTATTTTTACACACTATTTAGTGTGCTAGTATGCAGTTTGGGACAGGGCAATTCTTACTGAGCTGAATCTTCTTCATCCAGTGAGACGACAAGTTTCCTCTTCAGATACTCCATCATGGAGGATGTGCTCTCATGCCTGCTAAGGTCGGCTTTACAAATAGCACAACTGACAACCTTTTTTTCTGAGTTTAGCTCCCACACTTTTGAAGATTTTGTTCTTGAGGCAGGCATCGTGCTGTGGTTAACTCTCCCGTGAGCGGTGATGAAACCTTCGTAGTGAGCTTGAGAAATACGTGTAATGACGTCACCAACGAATTGACTCCTAAATTAGTTGCCAAATAATTTGGTGGTCGATTTTAGTCGACTAAGTGGAATAATCGTTGCACCCCTATTCTATAAGCATCCATTACTTATCAGGTACATTAGCCTCGTACCTCCAGTGCTCACCCAAATAAGCAAACTGAAAAATACAGATATGGCAGATAAAGATTAGTATGACTAGTATTTCTTTAACTACAGTTACACGCCATCCTGCGTTATTTACTGTACTTTTACACCAGTCTAATTCACACATTTGCTATGTGTTTGTCTTCTCCAGACTTTGGCTTCATGTTTGAGAGTTCTCCTGGTGGAAACCTGGGCTGGGAGCCTGACATTAAGCTCACTGATGAGATGGTGATGATCATGGGAGGAAAGATGGAAGCCACACCCTTCAAATGGTTCATGGAGATGTGTGTGCGTGGCTACCTGGCTGTTAGGTGAGATATGTACACATTCGTGAAAGTGTTTCTAATACTACACTCTTTATTCGTGTCTCTGTGTGAGAGAGAAATTGAATGACATTGTGTATTTTTGTTCACTGCTCTGTGCTGCAGGCCGTATATGGATGCTGTGGTTTCTTTGGTAACACTCATGTTAGACACTGGCCTTCCATGTTTCCGTGGTCAGACCATCAAACTGCTGAAGTGAGTTTCGCAAACTATGCTAAAGCAAAGGCAGAGTACACCAAATGGTAGGGATGTGGGATCAGACCCTGAGTATCGATGTTGATGCTGATCGGTACATATTTTAATTGGTTGGGTGTCGGCTATTTTAAGATCCACGTCCAATCCTTGTTAACGTTATTTTACCCCATTGCACTCTGTTTACACCATTGTTGTGCTTGTGCCATGAATAAATATTTTCACAGCAGCGCCAGTGAGGCATGTATTGACATGCTGTAAAAAAACAGTTTCAATGTGGAAAATTAAGATGGCACAACAGCTACTTGCACAATATGCAATGCCAGCTTTTGTCATTGATGCACCAGGGCAATGAAGGCTATCCTGTCTGGTCCAAACTGACTGAAGGGCTACTGTGGCACACAACACTGAAACTGATGGTTACAACAGGAATGTGTCACAACACACAGTGCATCACACCCTGGGACTGCGTAGCCACACACCAGTCAGAGTGCCTGTGCTAACCACTGTACACCGTTATAGGGACCTGGTGGGCATGTGAGTGTCAGAACAGGATCTAGGAGCAATGAAAGAAGGTCATCTGGTCCTATGAGTCCCATTTTTCTTTTACATCGCATAGACGGGTACATACGCACCATTTACCTGTGGAAGTGATGGCACCAGGGTGCACTGTGGGCAGAGGAGAAGCTGGTGGAGGGAGTGTGATGCTCTGAGCAATGTTCTACTAGGAAGCCCTGGGTCTGGGCATTCATGTGGATGTCAGTTTGACAGGTGCCACCTACCTTAACATTGTGGCAGACCAGGTACACAACTTCATGGCACTGCCACACTGCACACATTGTTCGGGAATGGTTTGAGAAACATGACGAACAGTTCAAGCTGTTGCCCTAACCTCCAGATTCCTCAGATCTTAATCTCATCAAGCATCTGTGGGATGTGCTGGAACAGCAGTCTGATCCACAGCGGCTCCACCTCACAACTTACAGGACTTAAATCAGGATTTGCTGCAAACGTCTTGGTGCCAGATACCACAGGGCACCTTCAGGGATCTTGTAGAGTCAGTGGATCAAAGCTATTTTGGCAGCACCAACAGCATATTAGTCAGAGGGGCATAATGTTTTGACTAATCTGTGTATTTTTTGTTAATAAATAAGAACATTCAAAGGAATTATTTGCCTAAATTGGATTGGTTTCACTGACTTAAATATACTTGCAGTGCCCACTGTGCAGCTGTATTATCTACAAAAACAAAAGTAAAGGATTGGACTCTGTATCGGACCATACTCAATATTAAAGAACGGGTAAAAACTGGACTGGACATCCCTACCAAATGGTCTCAATGTCACTTTTGTTGTATCTGGAAAAGCAGTTTTGTTTAAGAAATTCATGGGTTTGTGTTTGTGTTCTAGGCAGCGTTTTAACCCCAACATGAGTGAGAAGGAGGCAGCTGCCTTCATGATAAAAGTCATCCAGAACTGCTTCCTCAGCAGCAGGTCTCTCTTTGTATTTCTTTCTTACCCTCTAGGCCTGGGCTATAACTAAGAATAATTAAGAGTATTTTCTTGTATCGATTATGTTTAATAAAGATCACATATTATATCCTATAATACTGAATAACTCAACACTTTTTGAAGATGATTTTACCTCTCTTTTTAAAACCTATGACAAACGTGCATTCATGGCTGTTTCCTCTCAATAAATAAACACAGAAACGACCTGCATACTAATAGCAAGCTGATGCAAATGTCATTCTGCCACATATGCCGTGCGTGTGTGTTACATATACAAAAAATGTCATTATAGGGTAGTTGCTCTGGAATTCAGCTATAGATGCCTGGGGGAAACAATGAGTAATTATATTTTCATGATTTTACAACTCAGTTGATCTATCAGGACACTTTAAGCTGTAGAGAAAATTATGAGAATTCTCCTCAGATGCTATGTTACACTCTGAGAAACACCCAGTGGAGACAACAGGCAATTTGCTAACAACTTATTGTTGCCCCATAATAAGTCGTTGTTTTTAGAGTAGAATGGGAATAAAACTTATTCCTTAAGCAGACTGTTTAAAATTCATCTATAGTGCTCTTTCCAAGTACAATTCAATTACCACCATTAAACAATGAAAAGGTAATAATTGGCAATATTTGAGTACATCACCCTAATGCCCAAACCTAGTGTTCTCATCCTCAAAGTAAAAATATTGAAGAGCATTTGGTTAATTCTGATACAGATACATTGTAATATGTTTTTTGTTTTTGTTCTTTTGCAGGAGCAAAACCTATGACATGATTCAGTACTACCAAAATCAAATCCCATACTGAGGGCCAAATTTAACCTTCTGTGTTTGTGGGTTAAACATCAGTGATTGCGTCAAATCAGCAAGTGAACCGTGAACCCTGGACACCTGCTGAAAGTTGATGGCGTATGTGTGCGTGTGAGATTCCACATTGTGTTTTGGTGTGTGTGTGTGTGTGTGTGTGTGTCTGCAGTGTTAATGGTTTGAATCCTTCTCACTTACTGTGGAACATTTTATTTGCCTTTTATTTAACACTCTGCACTTTAAAAGCCTGTAATGCACTTGCATGGCTTTAAAAAATAATAAGAAGGTATGTAAATATGGATACCTGCAAACCCACCTTGCACAAAATTCATGCTGACCTTATTTACTGTTTACTGCATGGCTTCAATGTCTGTGAGGATACAGTACAATGAAGTTCATTTTGTGCCAGTGTTATTGACTTGTCAGCGTTCGTAGCTGTTGTGATTCTTTAAAGTGCCACATTATGATTGATTATTGAATGATGTTTGCTGTGCTCTTACTCGTAGGACATGTGATTTTGGATGGTAGATTTTTATTGGAAAACTTCTTGCAGTGCTCCTTGTTAGGAATTTAAAAGAATTTTTCTAGTATACAAGCATTAAATATGATCAGTGAGAAATTGACATTTATTTTGGAATAAAACACATTTGATATCTGTTACATGTCATACTGGGCCACGATGACTTTGCAGCTTGCTAACTGCATAATATTCTGTAACGCTGTGTTCTTTGGCAATACAGTTGAGTAGCTGCTCCCTTGCATGATGATGGGACATCTTTCAAATTGTAATTAATGGACTTTATTTATTGCTGATTAATTAGCTTTTGAAGCTTTAGAAATGCTCAATGTACAAAGTCCTACAGGTTATGCTGTATTTAATGATTCCAGCCTATTTCAGCCTTTGGACTCTAAAACATATTGTCTGTTCCCTTACCTATGGACCAATCACAGCTAAGCCTAAGGTCCTCTTTAACCAGTCACTGCTTGTTTACGGTATGTGCCTATGTGTTGACCAGTTGATTGTGAAGTGATTTTAATATTTGTACACTCGTTTACATGTATCTCTTGTTTTCTGCCTCTTTTTCTATCCTGCACTGTTTTTCGATGGTTATGAACTGTTATTCTGAATTGAACAAATGTTTAATAAATTATTCAGTGGCAACAGAATGTTTTCTTCCCTCTCTGTCTGCATCTGGAATAGTGAAGCTGCCATCATGGACATTCCCAAACATGTCCTTCTCTTCCTCCTCACCTGTCCATGAATTGTTGTCAAAGGTTGCTTGGACAAAAGTGATTGGAGTAAATAAAATTGAACTTTGCTGCTGAAAGACCTCTAGAGGATGCCACTACAGCCAGCTTTTCTGTTTGCTAGCACTATGCACATTACAGTGTTGTCCTGCTGAACAGTTTCACCATCAGCACCTACCGAAATGTATAAGTGCATAAAAGGGAGGTTCTAGAACTAATATAGAAGAGTGTCTTTTTTCATAAGACGGCACATGTTAATGCACCTGCAGAGCATGTTAAAGAGAAAACATGAGCCATGCTTGACTGTTCATCATTGCAGCTGTTTCAGTGCAGATCATTTTGGTTTGGCATTTTGGAATGATGGCAAAATAAAGACATTTTTGATCATTTCCTTTTTACCATCACAAAGAAAGTGCTGATTTCCACTAGAGTGTCTACAGGATTTACAATGTTATGTCAAGCCAAGCTAACATTAGTGTATGTTAACTGTTCCGCTGGGATTTATAACACTCATTAGCCTTAGACATGGACATCTGAACAGTGCTAACCATGCTGTACCCGTGAGCATGCATGTGAAGAGAAACTGGATTGTGATGGGGTCGAGCTCATTTGTGATGCACAAAACAAAGATGCTATGTAGGGCCTCACAAATCCTTTTTTAGATTCACTAAAAAAGTGCTTTCAAAGATAATATAGTAATACATTTGATACAAATATCAGTCTGTAACCATAGCTGTCCAAGAAAAATTAACAATAAAAAAATTCACATTTAAGTGCAAAGCGTCTTTTAGATTTTTTTAACTGCTACAAAGTAAAATATTGTAGCCTTTACTGCTATTAAAAGATATACAGGTTTTGCACATCATGGTGAAAAAAAAATCTAGCTGTTGTCTGACACGCCATACATAAGCAGAGGTTAACCTCTCTAAGCTCACTCACTGGCTCAGTTCACATCCGACTCCCCCTGCCTCTGCACATCACATTACCTCCGTAGCCCCGCCCTCTCCAATAAGAGTCCTCAGCAAAATAAACTCGATGAATGCAGGGCATGTAATAACCTATAATTAACACATGCACAACATTTCTTTAACCTGTTACAATATGTTAACATGTCTGTTACAAGCGTCCATTAGAACATGAAATGTATTTTACAACCTTCACATTTCTATTTTTCATCTTGAACATTGTGGATCTCCATTGGTTTAGTGCTAAACTAGAGCTAACGTCTGATTGAGGTGCAGAAATTTGAATTATTACAGAGGTGTTTTTGACCAGGTTTTGTTACTAGTCTAACAAACTGAAAGCCTAGCCTAGTTAGCAGGTTAGCAGTGTAAACTCACCGACCCTGTTCTTGGACATCTAACTTCCTGAGGAATTCACTTCAAAACCCAATCACGTTATCCAGATGATCAGTCCATCTAATCAGTTGCATCAAGTGTGTTGGACTTGGGCTGGAGCTGAATTCTGCAGGAAGGTAGTTCTCCAGGTGCAGGTTTGGTGATGAAGATTCTAGAACTAGGCCCACATCATATCACCTCCTAGTGAAAAAAGAATATTATAAGCATGCAATTTCATATATAAAACATCACTGTTTCCATAGTGACTATTACAAATAACTGTGGAGCTTACAGATTATTATATCTAAACGCATTCCATACCATGGTTACATACAATTACTTAAGTCTTTAACCATTCTACTCGCATAAGAAATATGACTACTTAGACAAAGGAATGAAATTGCTAAAAGACAATTTTGAAGTTATAAATCACACTATCATTTCAAAACAATGCTTAAATGAGAAGTTACAGGATAACTTCGAGTAAAATAAATGAGTACACTATCATCAATATTTCTGCAGACATGCTGGCAGAAACTTTATGCTTAAAGTATATATAGCCACACAAACTATAAACCTACTTCTAATAAAACTACATGAAGACTTGCAAGAAAATCAGATATATAAGATTAAACTATGATTCAAAGATACATATGGATTGCATATTTCTCAAATAAAAGAAAAAGAAAAAATAAATTTCTGAAGTGTCTGCTAAGGAGCTTCGGAGGACCATTAGCCCCTTACCCAGGGTTGATTGGTGGTGCCATGTTGGCCCCTTTCTTATCTGTTCTAAGCCCAGATGTCTTTCTCTGTGTGGGGGAAGTGAGACGTGCATGTGTGACAGAGGGAAAGGAATTTTCAAAAGTCATAATTTGTTTATATTCAAAATTTACTCCGGTGATGTCCAAAGGTCTCTTCAGGATGTTTAAAAAAGGATGGCATGTGTTACATTGACGTCGCACTTAAAATGTGAGAGAAGGGTCTCCTGACCTAGGGGGTCAAAGTGGGATTGTTCTTCGTCGTCCAGATAGGGGGGTCCAGATAGGGGGGTCCAGATAGGGGTTTGAACTGGTGTGTTAGCTGAGACTGGGGTGAGATGTGTCAGACAAAGAAAAGCTAATCTGTATCTGAGGATTATTTCTCAGGAGCCAAATTTCAGAAACAGAACAAAATGGCTTTACTCTGATTTTAAATGGGGCTTAACCATGTCTAGGAGAAATAGATGAAATTAAGAGGAAATCTCATTTAGAATATTTCTTTCCTCTGGGTAGGTGTGATTTATGAAACCGAGGAATTTATCTGTATTGTTTGTCGCAAAACTCAACATATTGAGAATTTTTCATTTTCACATTTCTTTACCACATCAAAAAATCTGTGAGGTACATAGATGGCTGGCTAGTTAGCTACTTACCTAGCTAGCTATGCTGACTACTAGCTACCTATGTTGACCAACACACAACTGCCATACCTTTAACATTAACATTTAAAATTGGTGATCATTATTGATCATTGTCGTTGTAGCTGACACCCCAGTGCTCCCACTACAGTCCTCCTCCTTTAATAGAGTTTGCTCTGTCAGTTTAACAATAAGTAGACCTGTACAGAACAAAATGAAGTAACAACAAACAATATTTAAAATTACAGATAATACTCTTATTAATATTAACAGCTGACTCATGCCCATTCAAACCAGGTCCCCCAGATTTCCTTTTATACATTTTTAAATATATAGCTTGGCTGAATACTTGATGCAGGAGTGTGCCATCATGCCCATACACTATCTGGAATGGACTGGACGCCACAGACTTCGCTGGTGCAAGTTCCATTTTGTGCACAAGCATATGCAAACCAAGAGGATCGGAAATCGTCAGGGTTTCACGATGCACAAAACTTTTCTTTTGGCTTTTCTTTACGCTGTGAGTTAAATGCAAGGTGCCGCCAGGCGTTTTAGAACATTTGCCGACAGCAGGTGCTTAGTTCATGCCATCATAAGTGTATAGGAGTGTTTTGTGAGTGTTCTTCATTTAGTTTATAACATTATCTTGGACTTTATGGCACCAAAGCTATTAGCTTTTGGGATTGTGGAGAGGTCTTGTAAACACCATGTTTACATCTCATGGACTAAATTATTCAGGAACTTTAAATTGGTAGCATTGTCTTTTGTTAGTTATCCTAACTGAACTGAGCTCTAACTTGGTCACTTTCTGCCCTATGGTTTTACATTCCACTTTATGAGAATATTAATTTATGTATGGTAAGTGGAATAAAAACATTTAATGTTAGTACAAGACATCACTGCGTCACTGACTAGAGGTCAGTCAGAATAATGTTTCTGAAATCTCCTTTCACCCTGTCTCATGATTGTGCCTACTTGTTCTCTCGTTGCAATCACCTCCACATCCTTTATCTACCAACAGCATCTTTCAGGTATGGAAGCAACTTTTATCTACAACCCCATTTCCAAAAAAAGTTGGGATGCTGTGCAAAATGTAAATAAAATTAGCAAAATATTTAAACCTTGTATTTCATTTAAAATAGTACAAAGACAACATATCAAATGTTAAAACTGAGAAATTGTATTGTTTTTTTTAAATATATGCCCATATATTTAACATTATTGGGTGGAGGCAGATGTTCATTCTCTGTCTGCCTCTCTCTCTTCCAATCATATGCTACATATACATATATTTTGTACACCTAACTTAAGTCTGTTTGCATATGACATCTTACTGGAGGCCTGGAAGTGATTATCATAGGAGGCACTGTTGCAAGCTCTCAAAATGCATATGTTTTACGTTGTTAATGGTTGCTTAAATAATTCTACTTGTTGTTCATGTGGGGGGCTGCAAGAAATTGACCAAAAACGCTGTCAAAAATATATTTTGCACAGTTCATCTGTGAGTGTGCACAGGTGATATGTTTAAAAGCTACAAGCAACACCACTTACAATTAAATCAGGGTTAACAAGTACACAAGACAGGTGAACATGCAAATTGCTTAAATCTACTGCCTCAATAGCAGGCAAGTCTTTCATTTCAGTCGAGATCATAACATAAGGATCACACCCAACAAATGTTGCAATTTTCTGTTTATATTTTTCCTCTCATTATATCGTCTAAACTCGCACAAAACTAAACTAGCTTGCCTCCATCTTGTTCATTCTGCTTTTCACTTCCTGCCCTTCATCTGGAATTTGCGCATCAACCATGTTACTCAGGACAATGTATTAGAGATTGTAGTCCACCTGTTTCTCTGCATAATTTGTTTACCCCTTTACTCAGTTCATCAATGATCAGGACTCCACTGGACCACCATAAAGCAGGTATTATTTGGGTGGTAGTTCCTTCCCTACACTGCAGTGATATTGACATGGTGGTGGTGTGTTAGTGTGTTATGCTGGTGCGAGTGGATCAGACACAACAGTGCTGCTGGAGTATTTAAACACTGTCCAATCACTGTCCACTGTAGACACTCCTACCTTTCTAGTCCTTGTAGATGTAAAGTCAGAGACAGTAGCTCATCTGCTGCTGCACAGTTTGTGTTGGTCATTTCTATCTTTCATCAGTGGTCACAGGATGCTCT